GGCTTGGCTCAGTTAGTACAGTGTTTGCTGCATGAGCACAAGGATTTGTGTTTGGATCCCAAGCAGCCAGTGCACACATCCATCACCAAAGCCCCACCTTGCAAAGCAGTTACCACACTCACCAAAATGACAAATGTTCTTCAAATTGTAAGGAAACTGGAGCTGTCCCATTTTATTGGTTCGATTATAAGTCCACATAACCACTTTGGAAAACAATTGATAATTCTTAAGTGTTAAATGTAGAGCCATCAATTTCCTGGCCTACTATTTTCACACACAATTTGTACACGAATATTAATAGCATCAGTCTTCAAGATGTACAAAAAGTGTAATGTCCATACATAATGAACAAATGAAATGATCACCAAATTTGGCATATCTTAGCTATGGCATATTACTTAGTATTAGATAGAATGGAGTATTGTTACCTGTTCCATAGAACATGCATGAGTCTTGGAAACATGGAAAGGGAAAAAAGCCAGTCATCCAAAACAGCATGTATGGTAAGTGCTAACTGTCCAGAAAACTAAAACCTGTAGATTCAAAAAGATTAGTGTTTGCGTATAATGAGAGGTCGTGAGGAAATGGAGAAGACAGTGAATAGGTTGGTCCTGGGATGATGGGGTGCTGTATGTTAGATTGTGGTGATAGTTGGAATCCTATGGGAAATATATTTCATAAATCTGTTTAAAACATTTAAAACACTAGAGTGTTCAAAACAATGCAAAATAAAGGCATATTTTACTTATATATTAATAACTGTAACTGAAATATACTATGTGGCCTTCTTTACTGTCAAGCAAATAAGATTTTTTTTTAACTATTTGAAAATATACTTTCTAATATAAGTATAGCAGTATTTAGAATAACTGTAGAACTAAGAAGCATTTAGGTAAAATTTAAAAGTTATGGGCCTGGAGAGGTGGCTCAGAGGTTAAGAACATTGGCTCCTCTTCCAGAGGTCCTGAGTTCAATTCCTAGCCACCACATGGTAGCTCGCAACATCTATAATGTGTTCTGGTGGCCGCTTATGGCCTCAATGCAGGCATACATGCAGGCAGAAGCCTGTATACATAATAAATAAATAGATAAATCTTAAATAAGTTGTGCTGATTGTGATGGTACATATTTTAAAACGGACCAATATAAAGATTTGGTGTTTCTCTTTTAAATCACTTCAACAGAATACCTGTGGTAGCTAAGCCGTACAGAGAAAAGGTTACTTTGCCCACACTTCTGGGAGTTCAGAGTTGTAGATCAGGCAGTCCTCCCCTGTGGTAAGGCTGACAGATGGTAGCTTGTGTAGGAACAGTCATGTTCTGAACAGGAGGAGAGGACGGGGATGGACACGCCAGGTTTGTACCTTTTATAACATTGTTCATGAGAGAACTCACAACACCCCAGTGATCTAAGGCTCTCCCACTAGATTCTACCTCCCTAGGGTTCACCACCTCCTCCTTGGGACCAGGTGTTTAATCACAATGGACTTTGTAGTGGGCAGGGCAGACTCAAGTCATAGCAATGTATATAGATGTAAAGATGCGATACTATAGAGGGTATTTTTGCACAAAACTTGCAATATTATAAAAGGCATTTGTAATAATATAATGAAGTCTGAATAAAAAAATCCACCAAGACTTCTTAATATAACTTTATAAAGTAACTTTTTATTTATAACGATATAATAGAAAGATCCCCAAATACCAGTTAACAAACCAGATGACTCACATCTGTTGGCCTGCACTGATCAGAAAGCTGAAGTACTGGCCAGGGTATGAAGTGTGGGGACCAATGGATGTGTGGAATAAATGTGTCCGGAACCAGGCCACTCACGCAGGAGCTTGTCCTCTCAGGGGTTGCTGCATAGTGTGGCATTGTCAGCAAATACTCACTGCAGCATCAACACCTGCCTCGGGCTGTTGACCAACAGGAAGATCATTGAGGTGATAAAATGCTCCCCAAAGCACTTGGGGGACTGAAGAGAAAACATTGATACAATGTTGCTAAACTGGTATGAAACACAAAACTGGTTTGTTTATCACTGGCCAGGTCATAAAGCCATACCATTTTCAGACATTCGTGTATCTATTGGAGTAAAATAGATACAAGTTAATGCCAAGCTTTTAATAACTGTATTTATTTTATGTGTATGAATGTTTTGCCTGTGTGTGTGTGTGTGTGTGTGTATGTGTGTGTGTATGTGCACCGTGTGTATCCTGTGTGAGCCTGTATCTCCAGGGGTCAGAAGAGGGCATTGGGTCCCTGGGGATCTGGAGCTATGGGTTGTAAGCCATCATGTGGGTGCTGAGAGTCAAACCTGCGTCTTCTCTAAGAGCAACAGATCAACTGCTGAGCCATGTCTCCAGCCCCAAAGCCCCATTTTCTAGACTATAAATGTTAGTGGTCAGTGCTGGCCCAGCAAAGGCGAGCAAGTCTTCTGAGAGTGAATTCTCCTGTGTGCCTGCCGGTGCTGTAGGATCCTGTGAGGACACCAGTCTTCCCTTTGTCTCATTTCTGAGCTAACAAATGGCTGGAGGATGGGATATTGATTGTCTATCTTAGGAGGAAGGAAGGAATTGGGGTGGAGGTTAAGTGTAGCTCATATTATACCCCCAAACCACATTCCAGATGTACTGTGCTGTTTTCTCTACTTCATGCATTTGGAACATTTCTAGTTCTCTTTTTTAAAAAAGGAGAAAGTAGGTTCTGGTGAAGTACAGACAGCAGTTTATACTGAATGAGTTAGGTGTGTAAATTCTGAGTGATTGCAGGCGAAAGGCCATAGCATACTTGGTAATGTGCCTTGTCTGTCTCAGGAGTAAGCTGTGATTTTATAAGCTCTCTGCTACCTAGAGTCCTCATTTTCTGAAGGGATAAATGTCGTTTGCTTCCCTCCCTCCCTCCCTCCTTCCCTCCCTCCCTCCCTCCCTGCCTTTCTCCCTCCCTCCCTTCCTTCATTCATTCATTGGTGTTTTGAGGCAGGGTTTCTCTGTGTAGCCTAGGTAGTCCTGGAACTCCTTCCATAGACCAGGCTGGCGTCAAACTCGGAGATCCACCTGCCTTTGCCTCCTGAGTGCTAGGATTAAAGGTGTGCACCACCACCACCTGGCTCATTTGATGAGAGTCTTGGTTGGGAAATGTCATGCTGCAAAGGATGTGACAAAGGCCACCCAAGTCCTGAGGGAGCAGGAATCTGCACTGTCAGCATCCACAGCCCAGTTTCTTTCCCGTTTCTCCGGAAGTCCCTCCTGCCACATCCTTGGCATCCTTCTGAGAAGGCAGTACATCCTCATTGCTCTGCTGAGTAATTTTCTATGGAGCAGTGGAAGAAAGTGCAGAGGGAGAGCTGAGACAGAAACTTAAGGCGCTGAAGGCAGAACTGAGCCTGCTGACCTTAAGAATGAAATTTTGGCTCCCGCCATAAAAGATGTCATACCCCTTAGTGGCGTATTATGACCAGATCCCTGGAGGAGCCCCTGGAGAAGGGGAGATGAGTAGACACACTTACCTCACTGCTGATATTTGCAAGTGAAGTGTGTTACAGAACACATCCACCTCAGGAAAACAGCCGATCCTGAGCAGATCCTGGGGACTTAAAGCAGTTTGTGGCATGGTGGCCTGGTTGTGATCCTGATATAAAATCTGAAACAATTTCTGGGAATTTAGTGTGTAAAAGTATAAAGGGTGAGAAGGATGTAGTTAAACTTTCGTTAGTAGACTCAGGTCTCGCCATTCACCTAAGCCAGTACTTAGGAAATAAGCTGGTGGAAGGAAATAGCTCTAATTGAAGATCTGGCATTCAGGGCCAGGCGTGGGAACATATACCTGCGGTCCTGGCATTCTTGGGGCTGAGGCAAGGGCTGTATTTAAGGCCAGTCTGGCTTCAGAGCAAACTTCTATCTTTAGAAACATAACAAAACAAAATAAAACTGCAGCAGTACTGGAGAGTTGGCTGACTGGGTAAGGGAGCTGGCTGCTCTGTGAGAGGACCTGAGTTGGATCCTCAGCACCCACATGGCAGCTCATAGCCATCTGTAACTCCAATCTTTGCAGACGTGACACCCATTTCTGGCTTTCTGGGTCACCAGGCTCTCACACATGGTACACACATAAATGCAGGCAAAACACCCGTATGCATTAACAGTGATAACAGCAAAGCCCAGTATCCTAAGATGGGTAGCCGCTGTCTCAGAGCTCTGCCTCAAGACTATAATAAATGTTTTAATGAAATATGCATAGTTTTACTTGGGGAGAAAGGTCTGAGCAGGCGGGGTGGCTCATCTTTGTAATCTCAGCACTTGGGAGTCTGAGGCTGGCCTGGCCACCCGGAGACAGACCCTGACTGAAAACCCACAAAAACCTGGAGGACTATACATATGTATGCATGATCTTAGTCAGGCACAGTGACAGACACACTCATGATCCCAGCATTTGGCAGAGTCAGGAGGATTGCTGCGAGTTTGAGACCAACCTGACCTACATGCTGAATTCCAGCCAGCCAGGACTATGTAGCCACCCCTTGCCTGTCCTTGCCCTCTTCGTCAAATAAAGGAGTGGGGAAGAATTAAAGAAAAAGGATGCAGAAGATAGCAGGCTGTGGGTGATTTCAGTCTATTGTTTGTGTGTTGAAATATAAGGAAAATCGATCTCCCGGTGGGTTTTCTCTCTCTTTTCTTTCTTTTTTAGTTTTTGAGACAGAGTTTCTCTGAGTAGCCCTGGCTGTCCTGGAACTCACTTTGTAGACCAGGCTGGTCTTGAACTCACAGAGATCTGTCCCCTTACCTTCCAAGTGCTGGGATTAAAAGCCTGCACCACCACTGCCCGGCTCCCAGTGGTTTAATTTCAGGAAAATCTAACATGAAATAGAATTAAATTGGAGTAGAAATGAGTTCTAGAAAATGATGGACAGGTGTGTGTTGGCGTGCACTGTGTACTCATGTGTGTGCTGTCCCTTCTCACAGGACAAAGAGCTAAAGATCTCACTGCTTTCTAATCAACAGATCTCCCTCGGACATGGCCACAAGCGGCTTTCACTTTGTACCATGTGACACCAAACGAGCATCCAGACATCTTGGAGCATCTGCTGTGGGCAGGTCAGGAGACTACGGGGGACGCCAGTGAGGTGGGGGTGGACCTAGGCAATTATCACGTTCATTTTATAAGCTAGAGAAGATGTGAGCAAACTAAATTAAACTTTGGGGGCATACCTTCTTGTTTATAAAAAAAAATAGCATTATTTTGAGTATGTGCATGTGTGTTAGAGTGAGTACATAGCACATGTGTGTGCATGTGTGTTAGAGTGAGTACATAGCACATGTGTGTGTGCATGTGTGTTAGAGTGAGTACATAGCACATGTGTGTGTGCATGTGTGTTAGAGTGAGTACATAGCACATGTGTGTGTGCATGTGTGTTAGAGTGGGTACATAGCACATGTGTGTGTGCATGTGTGTTAGAGTGAGTACATAGCACATGTGTGTGTGTGCATGTGTGTTAGAGTGAGTACATAGCACATGTGTGTGTGTGTGCATGTGTGTTAGAGTGGGTACATAGCACATGTGTATAGTGTAGAGGACAATTTATAGGAGTTAGTTGTCACCCTTCACTGTGTGGGTCGGGAAACTGAACTCAACTCCTCAGGCGAGGTAGCAGGTAACTTTTATTGGCTTTTCTTTAAGTTTTAGAACTTGTTTTGTTTGCTGAAGTGTTTATCTAATTACTCTTTATCAATAAAAACTCGGGAGCCAGGTAGTGGGGTAAAAACCTCATTGATCAGAGAAGCAGTGAAGAAGGGACCAGTAACCTTGACTCTCCTTTCTCAATCCAAAAAGGCTGAGAATCTAAGCCCCGCCCTACTACTTCCTGCGGCTCTCTGTATGTCCTTGGTCCTCCATAAACCCTATGGCTAATTCTGGCTAGCTAGTAGCTAGCTCTGCCCTCTGATTCAAAGTAAACGTTATTGGCCGTCTCAGTAGTGCCAGAGGGTGATCAAATATTCTCTGGAGCCACAGAAAGCACAAAGAGAATGAAATGTAATACCAGAATTTGTAGTCTTTTTAGATTTATTAAATTGTTTAAAATGGGATCATGTTACACTGTTTTATAGTCTGCTTTTTAAACTGGAGGCAATCAACTTAGAAAGGCTTATTGTGTTGTACAAGCTTCAGGTTTGGCATTTCCAGTTCGTGATGGGCCAGCCCCGCTGGCTGTGACTCTGTGATGAGGCTGCACTTCGTGGAGGGAGTGCATGGCAGCCAGTACCGTGGTCACACCATGGCCAGGGAAGGAGACAGGAGGAGAAAGCCAGGGCACCACAGTCCATCACCGAACCATCTCCCACTTGGACCCTTCCTCTTAGAGACTTCACCATGACACCTTTGGACACCAACACTTTAACACATGGGTCCTTTGGGACATTCCAGATGCAATCTAGCAGAGAAGCCATGGTTAGGACACAGAGCAAGCCTGAGGGGACGTAGAAAAATGAGTGAGATTTGTGTATACGTCTGAGATGGGAAGAGAAAAGGTTAGAGATGAACGTCCAGGAGACGTGGAGATCAATTGTGAGAAATGGTGTTAGGGTGTCGAGATGCTTTTATAATTCTTAACACGTGCAGGTTTTGTAGCCCTAGCAAAACGAAATGCTCCCACCCTTTTCATCAGAAGGTATTCTACTGCGGTCAGTGAGGCATCAGCCTTTCTGAAGTTTGTGGGTGTGGCTGGTATCAGGTGGCACAGGAAGTAACCAGTGTCACCTCCTCAAACTCCCCTCCCCACAAGCACCAGTCGGCTTCTCCAAACAGTATTATAAGGCAGGCAGGTCTAGAATTTGGGTCACCATTTAATAAACAGGAAGCACTGGGTGTCAGGTGACTTGATTGGGGTGCTGCAGCTAGGCGGTAGTTGGGAGGCAAACACGCTGATTCTGATGCTCTGCCCTCGTTTGTAAATAGGGTGCCTTTTGTGGTTCCACCTGCCCTGGTGATTGACCAGCGTGTGTGCTTAGTTTCACATCAACGATTGTGCTGTTTCGTTTGTTCTTCATTCAGCCTAGGAATAGGAGAGAAATCTTCCCATCGAAGGTTCTTGATGCCTAGAGAAGTACATGGCCACCAGCTAAGATACTCTGCAGCTCTGAAATTCTTTGAGGTTGCATTTATTACCAGTAGTTTTAAAGGGCACCAGTGATGAAGTTATGGATTTTCGTGGTTTCGTGCTTTTCACCTCCAGTTTCTTAATAGACTAGTTGCTGAAGTCATTGTATTAAGCAGTTTGGAAAAATGAGGGAAGACTTTTCCCATCACTTCATCCTCTTACCACATCCTGCAATTAGCGAGGAGACATGCTTGGGTCTTCACACAGGTGTTTTTCCATGGAAGTGAACTGTTGGAAAGGTGGCTCATTTTCAGATCTCAAGGATAAAGTGTATCGTAGTTGTTTTGATGTATTGTATTCGAGGAATTCACAAAAGCAGGAGTCAAGGGTCTCAGGCTAAAGGGATGGAGAGAAGCCTTTTATAGATCTTTCTACTCTTCACTTGCTAGCGTGGGTACCACTTCAGCCCCACGTGGGTACAAAGCAGGCTGGTGCCAGGTATTAATGAAGACTGCTTTGGGGAACTCTTAGCACCATGAAATTACAGCCACTGAGGAGGTAGCACTCCAGAGACTGTTCAGTGGGGTGAGGTTCCCAAATGGTCGAGTCATTAATTATGGCGAAACTTTGAGTAGAGGGCAGTGTGGGAAGAGGGGGCTTTGTTTGGATTGTTGGTAAAGAATGCGAGCTAGAGAGAGCCACTGCTGGTCAAGGACACCATTTCAGTGTTGCAGGTGTAAACTTCTGGATAGCACAATGTGTGGATACACTGGCTATTGATGGACCAGACTCTTTAAGTGGTTGTAGATATTTTATTAAAGTTTTATGATCTTATTATTATACTGTTATTTAAGAAAGAATGAAGGATAGATTGCCCAAACCATTGAATCTGACCCTTTCTCATTTTTAATTAATAGGTTCATTAATCTGTTTACTTACTGTGTTTGTGGTGGGAGGAGTTGCCCGTGCTGCGCTCACAGGATAGCCTTGGCTGTCTGTTCGTCCTGTCCTCAGAGCCCTCTCCCTCTTGTTTGGGGAAGGGTCTATCACTGGGCTGGAGCTTCACCACCTAGGCCAGGCCGGTTGGTCTGTGAACTCTATGAGTCTGCTTGTCTCCGCCTTGCATGTCGTCGTTGCTAGGACGTATAGGTGCGCCCACTACATCCTGCTCTGTACATGGTTTCTGGGGATCCAAACTCAGGTCCTCACTCATACAAGGACTTGCTTTACCGACTGACCTACCTCTACAGCCTCCGTGTTGTTGATAAGTGGTCGCACATGTTGTCCAGTCCAGACTTGAATTCACTGTCTAGCTCAAGCTGGCCTTGAGCTCCCAGCAGTCCTCCTGTCTCAGCTTTCTGATTTCTTCTTCCTGACATAGTTGACATTTGCCCAAGGCACTGACTTTACCTGCTTATCAGTGTCTAGCATTTTTAATAGTAGGCTACACCAGGGTAGTTTCCAATGTTTGCCAAGGAGCCATTTCAAAATAAGTTAATTTTATTAGAGACATATTAGGCATTGCAAAACTAGCACCACACTGGTGCTGTATTAAAGAACAGCTCACTGTGCTTAGGTAAACCCGGATAGGAGAGATGGCTGTAACGCAGAACTAGCTTACAGGAGCCCAGCTGTCTCCTCTGCAAATGCACATATCTCCTAAGACACACTCGACGTGCTGCAGCACCGTGGGGGTGGCTCTGAGCCAGACCTCTGTTCTCCTTTGGGACTGAAGGATGAACACATTGTTCTTGTTCATGTGACTAGACTAAGCGTTTTTTCTTTTCTTTTCCTTTTTCTTTTTTTCCCCTTTCCTTTCCTGTCCTGTCCTTGACAGGGTCTTTCTATGTGGTTCCTGCTGTCCTAGAACTCACTCTGTAGACCAGGCTGGCCTGGAACTCACAGAGATTTGCCTGCCTCTGCCTCCCAATAGCTAGGACTAAAGCCATGTACCACCATCCCTTTTAGTGTCTGAAAGATGACGACTTTTACCTCCTCCCTTTCTGTATTATTTAATCACACTTTTATCTTTCTTACATTCATATTTTTATCATTTCTGGTTCTGCAGCAGTGGTTGATACCTGTGCCACATTTCCTGAGTTCTCCATTAGCTTGTGTATGAGGGACCGGCCCTGCAGATAGATTGAACTTGTTCTCTCCCTGCCCCAGCCTCCCGTGTGATAGCTTTTTGAGTGCCTGGCTGCATCCCTCTCGATGTGAACTTGTGGTGTCCCCTCTGCCTTGGCTAATTAAAGAGAAAAGAGACTCTGGTTATTTGCTGTGGGTGTCTGAGCCTTTGGATCTGCATGCCTGAATCTTAGGCAAGAGGGTTGCTGGAATCTTTTTAGTACAGTTAGGGTCTTGGATTTGGAGAATTTTGCAAATTACCACATTCTTTGGTAAAGATCTATGAAGAGTAAAGTCTTGTCTCTCCCTGATTTCGCGCATGACATTGGGAGTGTTAAGGCCTCCTGCGGAAGACCCGTTTCCTTAGCATTTTTGTGAGCGCAATGGTTCTCAGCCTTTCTAATGCTGTGACCCTTAAATACAGTTCCTCATGTTGTGGTGACCCCAACCATAACATTATTTTCATTGCTACATCGTATCTATAATTTTGCTACTTTCATGAATCATAATATAAATATCTGTTTTCTGATAGTCTCAGGTGACCCCTGTGAGAGGGTCATGTGACTTCAAAGAGTAACAATCCACAGGTTGAGAGCTGCTGGTTTAGAGGCACTTGGGATGTCAGTGAAGGGCTCTGACCTGTGAAGATGGAACGCTAAGCTTTTTAAGTCACAAAGACTGCATGAGAGGACGTAGGCTTGTTATGTGGAGACATGCTTTGGGGATTTTGGTTGTTTTGTTTTTACCTCATCCCTGTGTGATCTTAGGCCCAAAGTTGTAGGCTTTGCTTCGTGGGTTGGGGTGATAGAGCCTACTCTACTTGGCTCATTGCATCACAGAGCCAACAGGCGGTACCCCTTTCCTTCTTAAGAAAAGGCTGGATGAGGGCTGGTGTTATAACTCAGTGCCAGAGTATTTGCTGATATTATGTAATCTTGGTTTGCAATCTTTAGTGCCCAAAATAGGAGGCAGGGAGGTGGCGGCAGTGGTGGCAGCAGCTGCAGCGGTGGGGTTACTCACGCCCACTCACCTACTTTGCCTTTTCAAGTCACCACTCAGCTAGCCCACTGGATTTGAACTTGTGATCCTTTTGCTTCAGGGCCTTTATTCTGCACAGGGGAGGAATAAAGCAGAAAGGAAACCAACAAAGTCCCTCCCCAGGGAATCTAGCAGGAGGAAGCGCTCATCTCCTCCAGATGTTAATACAGAAGAAAGAGTGCCCTGTCATCCATGGTTGGTTCATGGTTGGGAATCTAGAACAAAAACAACAACCAGATAAACAAGAGAAAAGCATATGATGTGTCAAATGGCATGGAACCCCTAAATTCTTCTCAACCTATTATGGAAGAGCAAACCCCCCATTTGCTAGCAGGCCTAACCATGACTGCCCAGTCTTCAATTCTCTTCTTGCCCAAAATAAGTCAGTCTAAATGACTCATCCGAAAGTAGAGACACATCCAGAGAAAATGGGGTTGTGATGGGTTTGATCTGAGATCCTGTTGTTTAGGGCCCCAGTTTGAATAGAGTTGGTGCGGTATGGGAAATCTTTGACTATAGTTCTCGATGCCAAGGAGACCTGGAGGAAACTGGGGAAAGCAGACACTCTATCTGGCTCCACCCGGTGAGGACGCCAGCGATCCCACCTCCTCTCTGTTACCCTACACGTGCTCCTTCCCTCCCACGCACGCACACTCGCGTGTCTTCATGGGGACAAAGTCCTGTGCCAGCTCTGCCCTAGGCACCGTCGTCCCTAAGTTCCCAGTGCGAGTTTCTCCTTCTAGTCACGTGTGTGTCTGCAGAAGGTCTTCATGGGCGAACCCTTCCGATTTTCTGAACTGCCTGTCATTCATCTCCTCTTCCATCTTTATGCTCGTTCCCTCTCTAGTCATTGGACGTTGTCTGGTGTTATACAGTTGCGTGGATACGTGAACAAATGGCTCCGAATTACTGAAAGCAGTTAAGTTATTACCAAATAAGGGTACCAATAGCTGGCATTATCCAAGGACTTGTGCACTGATCTAAGCACAGCACATGAGATAATAGTGCAGCTTATAATGTGGGCACTTTTGCTAGACATATCTTACGAATTAGGAAACTGAGTACTAGGGAAGAAAACTGACTTGTAATGGTCATATGTAGGACTGGGTTGAGGTCAGGAGCGGAGCCAAAGCCCAGATCCTCATTCACTGCAAGGCACGCAGCATTTGCTATCAAGTGTATTGTTAAAGGGGAGAGATGCTTGTTTTAAGTTATTTTGTGTGGTTTTTAAAGCTATAGGACTGAAAAAAATAATTCTGCCTTGTATTAGCATGTCTTGTAAATTAGAACTACGAAGGAGTCTGTACTTCACCAAGGATGCGTGGCAGGAAGCCGGCAGGGCTCCGGCGGGTCCAGAATGTGAGTGTGTGGGCCGAGCATCCATAGCGTTTGCAAGATAATACACAGCTGCTGACTCACACGGAGCAGGAACACTCACAAAGCATGCCCATAGCAACCGTTGCCACTGTGTCTTTCAAACAGGTTGTGGGTTGTGAAAGCACCTTGGTGTTTCAGAGATGGGCCGGGACCCAGGGGACTCTCCGGAGATGGAAACACCGACTTTTACTTCTGGTTCCGGATTCTTTTCATTCTGTCGTGCCAGGCTTGAGGGGCATCCCGTGTTGATGAACCTTTGAGATGCCTGGTGGTTCTTAAACATCTTTTGGTGGGCGTATGTTTCCTGGGCCTCTTGAACTTTATGTGGCAGTCCGTTTTTGGTTCTTAATCTGAGAAGACAGCGCCATGAATATCTGTTTTAGGAAGAGAAGTCTGACAGTGGCGTAGAGGGTGCATTAAAGCAAAACTGGGCTCATGCCAGGCCCCCTGAGTCAGAAGCCTTTGAGCGTGTGGTCCAGCAGTCAGCACTGACAAGCTCACAAAGGTGTCTCTAATGCCTGCTTACAATGGAAATCATGACGTCAAAGCCTCTGTCGTCAGGAAGGCATTCTTGGAGAGAGCTTTAGAACTTAGGTCTGAAGGGATAACCTTCTGCAGTCGTGGGATGGCCTTGGGAGCAGAGAGGGGTGTGTGTCTCCAGGAGGAACCCCAGCCAAGATGGAAGCCAGAGCCTTTGGCAGGCAGTGCTGGGAGTAGTGGGTTCAGTTCCAGGCAGACCTCATACAAGACAACTTTGAAGGGCTGTGGCTTCTTTGTTTACTCCGGGCCGGGACAGGTGCAGTGCATCCTCCAGACGGCAGCTGAAATGCGGAGGTAGCTGTTTGTTGACAGGAGAGCATTCTGGTCACAGCTCATTTCCTGACAATGGAGGATGAGCTGTCACCTTAGAGAGTGGGAGGGGATGCAGAGCAGGTGGGAGAGAAACCTGGAACACAGCGGCTGGGAAGGGAAAGCGGCCCTGGATGGTCAGGAACTGGACATGTAGATCAGGCTGGCTGCGGACTTCCAGAGGTTGGCCTGTCCCTGCCTTCTGAGTGCTGAGGCTAAAGCCGCACTCTGCCACACCCAGGGGACAGGATTTCTGAGACAATGTTCCTCCCTTTGTTCTTAGAATAGAACCCACCTCCTCTGACACTGTCGTTGCTGACTTTGGCCTAGTTTCTGCTGTTTCTCTCATTTTCTGTCCTGCCTGCTGCATGTGCAGCCCAGAATTCCTTCCCCCTGCACGCAGATATTCCCATGAGTCACTCCTCTGTTAGGGAGCATCTTTCTATGGCAAGGCTCATCAGAACCAGGCCTCCATGTGTGTGACCCCTTCCCTTCACACCCTCATCGAATTGGTACCTACCATGGACAGTGTTTGTTGGCCGATCTCTTCTTCACAACAGCCCTGGAAATAAATTGCCGTGCTCCCATTTTACAGATAATAAAGTTGAGGCCCGGGTATGTTATAAACAGGGTTGGCGCTGGGACTTAGAAAATGATGCCTCTTAGCACATGCCAATCCTAGTGCTTAGGAAGCCAAGGAAGTTAAGGCAGATGGGTTACCATCAGGTCTAGGCTGAGCTTTGGGTCACGGCTACAGTTTAAAAAAAGAATGAAAGGATGAAAGATAAAAGGAGGTGGGAGGTCAGAGAGACATGGGTTTTGACGCTCCTGCTTTGATAGCCAGCATGTCGAAGCACTGGACTTTGGGGGTGCCATTTTTTCTTTTTCTGATTCCCTTTGGAAGAACAGGGAGGACTCTTCTTTGATAAGGGAAGTTGTTCTGGGGAGAAGGCAGTGCTGTGCGCCTCCTCCTTCTGTCCTGGCCGCCTAGGAAGATGAGCCAGAGGATAGAACACCAGCGTGGACAGGCTGCACAGTCAGAAGACTCTGCTTGGAAATGGGGTTCAGAGTTTCATGCATGTGATTGTAGCACTTGGGAGGATAGGGCAGGGAATTGCTGTGAGTTCCAGGCCAGCATGGGCTCTACTGTCAGACTGTTTGAAAGAACAGACCGGAAACACATACAATCTTTTGTTGTCTCTACGTCTCCACTCCCCCTCCTCTGCAGAGGTTTATGTACTTTTAAATGTTAATGTGGGTAATGGGGTACTCACTGTTCGGCCCCTGTGTGCAGTACGCGTATGTGCCTGTGCTCACGGCCGCCTGGTTCTTAGAGATAGATGCAGAGCATTGGCCTTACAGAGGGCAGGGGAAGCTCCTGCCCAGCATTGGGAAGTGGCAAAGGGGGAATTTCAGCTGGTCACCGAGATCCCCTCCCCGACTCCTTACTAATGGTAATACTACATAAATCCTTTATCTTTCTGTTTTTTTTTTTCTTCAGTTCATCAACCAAGGTGGATCTCAAGAGTGGGCTGGAAGAGTGTGCAGAGGCATTGAACTTATTTCTAAGTAACAAGTTTAAAGATGCCTTGGAGCTGCTTCGTCCATGGTAATTAGCTGTTTCTCATTAGATATTTTTCATGTTTCTCTGATGTCATGCTTCTTTGTTAATGTCTGTATCTGCCCAGTGTTTGTAAGCTAATTGGATTGAGACCCCTTCCCATCAACCAGCTTTAAAGAGATGCTGTTTCAAATTTAGTCGATAGGAATTTTGGATGCTTCTTCCCATGCTTGCTCAGATGTCGTCTCTGGTGTTCGAGGCCCACGTTGGTTCTCTGGAGCGAAGTCTTCACATGAGCACTCCTGTTATCAATTGTTGAACAGCGTTTCCTCTGAAGCAAACAGGGGAGTGACTAGAGAAGCCTGATCTTGGTGCTAAAATCAAAGTTAAGATGTCAGGAATCCGATAGGGGCTCCCTGCTTCTGTCACTGAGTTTTGCAGACGTGGTAGTGCCCCAGCCCTACCTGCTTACTGGCCTCAGCTCTGCATTTGACAGACTTTGCAGAACTGATCTTGTCTCCAGACTCAGTTCCGGTGAAGCTGAGTTCTTTTGTAACTTGCTAGAAGAAGACTTGATGCTGAAGTTGGGGAGTCTGATCCCTCACATCAAGTGGCCAGTGGTATCCCTCAGACTTCGTCTGTCGTCTGGACCACTGCTTGTCGAAGATCATGGTCATCATCATTTATGCCTGAGCAACGCTTAAGCATGCATGGGCAGCCCGTTTATTGTGGTCCTCCAGTTCCTCTCCTGGGTAGTCCTAGCTGCTTGTGTTATTGTCATGCCCAAGGCTCCACAGTCTTCCTTTATGCTGTCTGTCCAGCGTTCTTTGTGCCTTCCGCTTCACCTTATCCTGTGCACTCCTCCAAGCAGTGTTGTCTTTGGCTATCTGCTGTCTTTTATTCTCATAACATGGCTGAAGTATCTCAAGTAGCCTATCTCTTCGTGTGATGCCTAGAATCCTCCTGAGACACGCCATCTCAAACACATTTAGGTGCTGTTCTGAGGAGTGTCTCACTGTCCAGGTTTCAGAGTTATAAAGGCGGCAGCTCAAGATAAGTGTCTCATATACCTGTCATTTTGTTGTCGTTGTGTCTCTTGCTGACCAAACCTTTCCTAGTGCCTGGAATGCAGCCCTTGCTGTCCCTATTTGCCTCTTGACATCTGAAATAGTTCCCTCCATTGAACTGAGATCTCCTCCTGGATAGACAAAGTTGACAGTTTGCTTGAGGTGGAGAACTAAGTCATCAGTTTAAGACAATCGTGGGAGTGTGGCAGGTAGGGATGCGTCCTCTCACCACTACTCTTTAATCCATCCCTGGAATTAATAATAGCAACAGCCCTGCAGGATGGGGAGATAGGCGTGCAGATAGGTGGTGTGCAAATTAACAACTTACATTTCGCCAACGATACAGCGCTACTTGCTGAAAGTCCAAATGAGCTGCAGGCCGTGGTAAATAGAGTGGTGGAAGTCAGTGAGAACCTTGGTGTGAAAGTAAACATCGAGAACACTGAGATGCAACACATGGGAAGGGGCGCACAAGGATTTTAACATTGTAATAAAGAATCAGAACAATCAGAACCCCAAGCTAACAGTCAACTTTGTCTATCTGGGAGGAAACCTCCGTTTAAGGGGGTGGGGTGGGGGTGGGATCCTTGTCAAAGTCTCAGTGAAATTCATATGTTTCAGGGTAGGTGCATGAGGATTAGAATTATTAAGCAAAAGGAACGGAGATCTGAGAGAAATAAGAGATGGAAACACAGAACAGCACCAGGAAGGACATTCAGTGAATCATGGATCCCTTATTTTCCACACTCTTATATATACTTCACCCCAAAAGGGGAGCAGGAGGCAACAGACTTCATTAACATGATATAAGGAATAGACTTGAATTCTCCCACCTTTGGTTCGAGTGGAGCGACCTTCGGTTCGGGTGGAGCGGACCTACCTTTATACCCAAAAACCTAAACCACACCCTAGGTCAGGATCTCCAGTTGTAGCCACACCTGTTGTCAACAACTTTGAAAGAGCAAAAATCAGCTCAGACTCTCTGGCTTCCAGTCAAGGTGGAATAGGCTCAGTCCTTGGGCCCTCACAACTGCCTCCCTTCGCCGACTGTCAGCTTGCCCTCTGACTCTCTGCCTCCCTTCGCCGACTGTCAGCTTGCCCTCTGACTCTGCGGTGTCTTTACCTGTCTCCTTTATTCATTTATTTTTGAAACAGGTCTCTTTTTCATCTCTACCATCTGCTTATAAAATAGGAATAAAAATAAATGACTAGTTATATAGTCTCTGATCTTTATGCGTAATTCACTGTTAAAATCCCCTTTTTACCTCACTTGAGTGTGAGATTTGAATGTCACGGTGTGAGCAGGCAGTGCCCTCATTCAGGACGAAGGCTCTTCAGACCCTGTCCGAGGCAAAAGGATAATGTTGCATTAGCTTTTTTTTTTTTTTTTAGTTTTTCGAGACAGGGTTTCTCTGTGGTTTTGGAGCCTGTCCTGGAACTAGCTCTTGTAGACCAGGCTGGTCTCGAACTCACAAAGATCCGCCTGCCTCTGCCTCCCAAGTGCTGGGATTAAAGGCGTGCGCCACCACCGCCTGGCTGCATTAGCTTTATGTAGCCCTAGGGGTGTTGAGCCGTAGCACTTAAATTAAAAACAAAACCCCACCTTGATGTTTCCAACAGAAATGATCAGCATAAGAGGCTTTGAGGAGAGCAAGCAGCCTCAGGCCATCATCCTGAACTTGATAACCTCAGCCCCCAGACTTTAATCCGGAGACCCAGGTAGTAGACCTGAGGTTTACTTTGGTTGTCATCTAATTGATTGCAAAGATCTTGCTTCCTCTTGGCTTTGACTAGAGAGGAGATAGCAGGGTTTTTTTTTTTTTTAATTTATTTATTTATTAAAGATTTCTGCCTCCTCCCCGCCACCGCCTCCCATTTCCCTCCCCCTCCCCCGATCAAGACCCCTTCCCTCATCAGCTCAAAGAGCAATCAGGGTTCCCTGACCTGTGGGAAGTCCAAGGACCACCCACCTCCATCCAGGTCTAGTAAGGTGAGCATCCAAACTGCCTAGGCTCCCCCACAGCCAGTACGTGCAGTAGGATCAAAACCCCTTTCTTTATTCTTTGTCTTTCACGTCATGCATCTCGATCCCACCCATCTCCCATCCCCTTGCATCTGCTCTGTGCCCTTGCAACCTCTACCGCTAAATAAAGCAAAATAAAATTTAAGATAAAAAAGGAAAAAAAAAGGAAGGGAAAAATCTCATCATGGAAGCTTTAGCATGACATAGTGCGTCACGCAGTGAACCCCTTTATCCATCCACATATCTTTACATGTAGTTGTTCATCACAAAGAATCAGGCTGGCCTCAAACTCGGCGAAGATGACCTTGGGTTCCTGAACTCCTATCTCTATTTTTCAGACGCTAGAACTGAAGTTGTAGGCGACCAGGCCTCACTCATTTCAGAAATTAAGATGGTACACTTCCCGCTATTCAATTAGAAAAAAATAAAATAGGTTTGCTTTTAAACTTTTTCTCGGAAATGAATCTCCAGGCTGCCCCCTTGTGCTGAATCAGGGAACGGCATGTTGTTGGCAGCTCTATTCTGCTGAGTTTTTAAAGCAGGCCTTTCAGAGGGTGTATCATTTCAGGAACGTGGAGCAGACGTCAACATGCGTGGTGAGGATTTTGTGTTGCTGATGTCAGAAACACCGGGACTTCCGTTTCCTTTTCTTGCATTGTTTTGAAATGTGCTAACTGTCTGTGTTCTCTGCAGGGCCAAGGAGAGCATGTACCACGCCTTGGGATACAGCACCATTGTGGTCTTGCAGGCCATCATGACCTTTGAGCAGCAGGACATCCAGAACGGCATTTCCGCCATGAAGGACGCTTTGCAAACCTGCCAAAAGTATGACTGAGTAGTTAATATCTGACTTACGACCCCAGATCTTCTTACCTTCGTGCCAAGGGGATGCCGTTTGCTGAGCTAGGGTCTCTGGGTTTGAGGCTGGCCAGAACTATGCTGCAGGTCTTCAGCCTCAATTCCATTGCGTAGAACTGAATTGGCCGAGAAACTTGGAGGCTTCATAATATGGCTCCCATTTTAGCACCTGCGCCCCCTGCTGGAAACACGGATCTGAACTCTAGTGAGAGGCTGAGGGAGGCTTCAGAGGGTTAGACCTTTTGAGGTCTGCTGAGGTAGACGAGTTAAGAACCAAGTATCTTGTCAGGTCAAGCAGGGAGTGTGCTTCCTCTCTATGGGAGAAACTGCACAACCAGAAGGGAATTTCTGTTTGCCTCAGGATGTGCTTAGACACTCTGGGTGGATCAGAGTGAGGCAGAGCATCAGTGTTAAGCTCCAGTCTGCATGTAGCAGGCCTCAGTGAAAGCCATTATCTGTACTGGTGAATTTTAATGTGGGCAAGATGAATCTTCATGTAATTATGTTGGAAATCCTCAAATGAAGAGCGTTTTCCCAACAGTGCACTTTACGTCCATTTTTCTCCCGTGGAGATGCTCACCACAGAAACTAGGCTTTTATCCAGGAAGAGGAGCATAGGTTTATGCACGATTTGTGCCCAGGGTGGTGTGTGGGCTCCTCTGCACTAGGCGTGGTGGGTTGAATGCCCATTGTGGTTGGCAGTGCAGGCCTAGGCACTGTGCATGCAGTACGGGAAGAGGAGGGCTTTGAGTTGCAGCGTGATTCAGGTGGTTATCGGTGACGGTGAACTCGGTCTGATGCCCGTCTTCCCCTCTGTTCTCCTCCCACGTGTCGGTCTCCATCGCAGATACAGGAAGAAATGCACAGTTGTGGAGTCTTTCTCAAGTCTGCTTTCTCGTGGGTCGCTGGAGCAGCTGAGTGAAGGTGAGAGAGGCGGGATGTTGCTCTCCCTTCCCTTTAGAGGGAGGGACGCACCCTGTCCTACGTGTGGAAAATGAGGGGCGAATCCTTTTCTCTTTCCCCATGGTGCTCCTCCTCTAACTCACCTCAGCTCTGGACACATTTGGTACGATCACAGATGTGTATAAGGGACACATGGAGTTCTGTTTTTCAGTTGCCTTTTTTTGTAAGCCTTGAGCCACTCACACGCACACACGCACACACACACTCCAGTGTCATCTGGACCCACATCAGTGTGTGCCAATGCACTTTATCTGTTCAGAGCTGTGCAGTCATGAGCAGGATGGTGCCACAGGGCGGGGGATTTTTCACACTAAAGGACAGCTATATGGCTTTAGTTTTTTCATTGTTAGCAAATGCTGCTGTGCTAAAAACATTCGTACATGTCTTTGTGTATTCTTTCAAGTATCTTATGAGTCAGTGTTCTAAAAGTAGAATTGCTGCAACTAAGGGCCTGAAATTTTACAATATTTATAGATATTGGTATTTTTTTCTTCTGAAAACTTTATATTCAACCACTTTGGAGAGTTTCATGTTATACAGACTTTTAGTATTTTTCCAAGGTGAAAAAGTCCTTTTTTGTTTTTGAGACAGGCTCTTCCTATGTATTCCTCACTGGCCTGAACTTACTGTGTAGATCAGACTGGCCTTGAACTCACAGAGATCCGTCTACTCTGCTTCCCAAGTGCTGAGATTAAAAGCATGCACCACTCACTGTATCTGGGTAGTTTTTATATCTTTAAAAATGATAATGCTGTCTACAGAGATGATGAAGATGTTTGGTTTGTGGGCTTTAAGAATATTGATAGCACTCGATAGATAGATGGAGGAAACTAGTTAGTTGTTAGCTGTTTTATTCCCAGTAAAACAAGGGCCTAAGTGCTCTACGTGACCCTGTAGAGATGGTGACCCACCACCAGGGAGCATCTGGGCAATTCTGTAGAGGCAACGATGTCTCTGGAGAATTCGTGTCCATATTGTGGTTTTCAAACTTGTCCTGTGGAGGAGGTAGTTAGTACCAAACACTGGATAAACTAGGGCGCAGCTCCGCGCTTGGCTGTCAGAGGTGGTCGAGTGGTCACGTATAAGCCGCAGACCTTGAATGTGCTCCGTAGGTGTGTCACCAGCTTGTTTGGGACACTGAGTGACATGAGTTATGAGTGTTGATTACAGTTGAGGAGTGTGGCACATCACGTCTTTAGGACTTCTGAAAACGAGGATAGTGTGGACTCAGCCATGACAGAAGCAGACGGCATTTTGTCGGTTACCGCGGGCAGTTGAACCCCATCCTCTTTTTCATTAGAAACTGACCCCAAGCATCTAAAGGAGTACAGACTGATACTTGGAGGCCCAAAGTTTTCCAGAGATGACCCACGGGAGATGAAATTGGCCCTGGCATGACTCTGGGATCTGTATTCTCCCTCCTGGCACCCTCCAAGTGGCACTGGCTCCTGCTTGCCTTTTTGTGGTGTGAGATTGATATTGGAGAGTTTTAAACCTTAGTTTTGGGAGGAATGACATAGCATTATTGGTGTGAGTATAAATAATTTTAAAATACCACAATGCTCTGTTTTCTGAAAGTGTTCTTTGTGCACCAGATTCACTCTTGGTGCTTTCTTTAACATTAACTGTCCTAATATATTTAACCGATGGTCACAGAGAGTAAGTAGCCAAGGTGGCCAACATCGAAGCAGCATTTAAAATAGTCTACTTTCCCTAAACCTCAGCTCTTCCCACTGGCCCCATGTTCTCCTGTAGGGGAGTAGAAAACATCCTTCATGGTTGATGGAAAAATATTGAATTATCACATCTGGAAAATCAATGACTGTGTTCTGATTTTTCCTTCTTGCCTCTAAACAGAGCATTTTAAAAAAAATCTGAACTTTGTACTAATTATTGAAAAACTAGCCCATGTCTGTAGCTTCTTCTGAACTATTGGTATCTTTAGATTATTTTTTTTAATTTATTTATTTATTAAAGATTTCTGCCTCCTCCCCGCCACTGCCTCCCATTTCCCTCCCTCTCCCCTGATCAAGTCCCCCTCCCTCATCAGCTCGAAGAGCAATCAGGGTTCCCTGACCTGTGGGAAGTCCAAGGACCACCCACCTCCATCCAGGTCTAGTAAGGTGAACATCCAAACTGCCTAGGCTCCCCCAAAGCCAGTACGTGCAGTAGGATCAAAAACCCATTGCCATTGTTCTTGAGTTCTCAGTAGTCCTCATTGTCCACTATGTTTAGCAAGTCCGGTTTTATCCCATGCTTTTTCAGACCCAGGCCAGCTGGCCTTGGTGGGTTCCCAATAGAACATCCCCATTGTCTCAGTGTGTGGGTGCACCCCTCACAGTCCTGAGTTCCTTGCTCGTGCTCTCTCTCCTTCTGCTCCTGATTTGGACCTTGAGATTTCTGTCTGGTGCTCCAATGTGGGTCTCTGTCTCTGTCTCCTTTCATTGCCTGATGAAGGTTAATATTCAGGAGGATGCCTATATGTTTGTCTTTGGGTTCACCTTCTTATTTAGCTTCTCTAGGATCGCGAATTATAGGCTCAATGTCCTTTATTTATGGCTAGAAACCAAATATGAGTGAGTACATCCCATGTTCCTCTTTTTGGGTCTGGCTTACCTCACTCAGGATAGTGTTTTCTATTTCCATCCATTTGTATGCAAAATTCAAGAAGTCCTTGTTTTTTACTGCTGAGTAGTACTCTAATATGTATATATTCCATACTTTCTTCATCGTATCTTTAGATTATTGCAGAAAGACTGCTTAGTTAGCTTTTGAGTACACTGTGAATTTCTTTCATGAACTAAGGAATTTACATTAAGAGGCATTTTGGTAAAGAAATTATACAGTGTAACTCAACCGTGATGAAGGGATAAAGCTCTGGAAATTAAGTTGCCTGTTATTCCCAGGGTCTTTGGCTGCTACCGCAATCCAAGCAGACTTTATGTTTGAGGGCCGCTTTCCTTTGCTTTCTGTTGCTGGGGGAGGACAGGACTTATTTGGCTTATAGGTCACAGTTCATTTTTAGGGGAAGCCAAGGCAGGAACTGAAGCAAAGACCATGGAGGGAAGATGGGTACTGTCTTCTTCCCCATGGCTTACTCAGGCTGCTTTCTTACACCACCCAGAACCATCTCCTGGGCCCTCCAACAACAATCATCAATCAAGAAAATGCCCTACAGAGACTTGCCTGCAGGCCAGCCTCAGCTGAGGGTCCTCTTCCTGGATAGTCTAGGCTTTTGTCAGGTTGACAACTAACCAGAACAATGGGCACGGCAGAACACTGTAGCTTTAGTATGGGATTTGTCTTCCTGTTGGTAATTTTGCTTACGTTCTCAAGTTTCTAGCTGCGTTAAGGAATGAGTATACTACATGAAGTTTCTTTCCATGGGCTTACCATGGGACACACTTGCTGCTCTCCACCGTGTCTGCTGACTGGAGCTGAGTAGCTTCAGGCTGACTTCAGAGAGTCAGTGTGAGGTGCAATGCTTTGGATGTGGAAAGAGTCCCTGCTCTCCCTGCTTCGTGGTGTGTCCTGTGTAGTACTCTTTACTGTCTGTCTTGGTCTTGGTAAGGACCTGCTGTTTAGCCTGGCAAATCAGGCCGGCTGTAACATTCGGTACTGTACCGTGTCACCCTGACTGGCCTTCCCACCCTGCTGCCCTCTCCTCTCCTCATACATTCCAGGCTGCGGCCAAGGAGCCCCGGTGCCCTTTTAGGAGGGTGCCAGTGCTTCTGTGCCTTGCTTTACCTGGTCCTCTAACAGTGCTTACTTCTCCCCTCTTCACCTGCTCCAGGCAGGTGGTTTCTTCCCAAGGCGGCCTTTGACATTAATAACCCCAGGTGGTTGTCACCTTTACAGTTACCTAAGAAGAGGCTAGTTGGGTGACTGAAAATAAGCCACCATTTTGAATTCCCCTGAAGATAATGGCGAGGCTCACCTGGAAGGAAGGTGTCCTGGAGAACGCCACCTTGACTGGGGGCGATGCCCGATGAGTGCTGTCTTCTGTGGCTGCCACCCTAGCTGCTGGGGAGCTCAGCTGCGTATTCCTCATAAATTGAAGATCTTAGTCTGTATGAGAGAGCCTGTGGGTTATGTGTGTGTAAAGCAAGGAAAACTTACATTCTTACCTAGTTGGGTCAACACTGTTTCTAGTGACACAGATTGCCCCGAGTTGTCCCGTCAGTTGAATTGATATGGCCCACAGGCACGCACATATCCCGGGTTGTATAGGAAGTCGGGGCATGTTTGGGGTGTTGTGCACATATCCCGGGTTGTATAGGAAGTCAGGGCATGTTTGGGGTGTTGTGCACATATCCCGGGTTGTATAGGAAGTCGGGGCATGTTTGGGGTGTTGTGCACCTATCCCAGGTTGTATAGGAAGTCGGGGCATGTTTGGGGTGTTGTGCACATATCCCGGGTTGTATAGGAAGTTGGGGCACATTTGGGGTAGTGTGCACATCCCTGGGCACAGCTTTGGCTCCTCTTGGTGAGCACCGCGTGTTTGTGCTCAGGTTGAAAATGCTGTAAGTCGGAAAGGATGGCTCCTTTGCTGCTGCCTCTAAGGAGTCCTGACTTGTGCACAGGGCAGTAGGTTCTCTACAACTCTCGGAAGTGGTGGCGGTGTGTCTGACCATCGTCCTGATGGCCATGCCGGCATAGTTTAGAAGCTAGAATTTGTAAGTTTAATGAGCCTTTTCAATCTATACCACTGCTAAATGCTCATGCTACTGCTATTTTTAGGTAGTTTTCTTCTTTCTAAATGGCCTTTGAATTTTGTTTGCCTCAATCAGGCGTGGTGATTCTTGCTTTTAATCACAGCACCAATCAGGTTGTTGAGGCAGGACAGTCTGAGATACCTAGTGAGTTCCAGACCTGCCTGGGCTCCGACGTGAGGCTCTGTTGCTTTCCTCTGCTGTCCAAGCCCCACTCTGCTGTCATTGTTGAATGGGGCCGAAGACGATTTCCCTGAACAGTTCACAGATTCCAGGAAAATCTTGTGCCAGGACTAAGAACAAACCATCCTGTTTCTCTGGATGCACAGAAGCTGTCTAGGCCTGTGTATCTCTCATGGGCTCCTCACCTTCCAGCCCTTTCAGAACGTCTAGAGCAATACTGTGTCTTAATAGAATTGTGTTTGTTTTTAACAGAGGAAATGCATGCCGAAATCTGCTACGCCGAGTGTCTCCTACAGAAAGCCGCGCTCACATTTGTGCAGGTAATAAAGGTCTGGCTGAATATTGGTGTTGGGTGGGAAGCCTGCCAGCGTTGTACAGAAAAAGGTAAATGTTGCTCATCGTGTGTTAGCACTGAGACTTAGAGTGGTAATGGAAGGTATTTGTTATCCTGATAAAGTCTGTCTGAAAGAAGGCTCCAGAGAGCTGTATTCCCATGCAGATGTACTTAGTGACTGTTTCAGATGACTTAGGATGCTTCCTAGTGTGGAAACAGAAGGAGCTCCAGGTCGCATGTGTGTGGTCCTAGGAGCCCTCCCTCCCCGTCCCCAGGGTTTGTCTGTGTAGCCTTGGCTGTCCTGGAGCTTGCTCTGTAGACCGTGTTGGCCTTACCCACCCTGTCCTTTCTATCCTCATTCCCTTTTTTCCCTTTTTTTTTTTTTTTTTTTTTTTTTTTGCTTTTGTCTCACGACAGGGTTTCACTGTGTAGCTGTGGCTGGCCTGTAACCCTCTGTAAGACCAGGCTGTCCTTGAACTCATGAACTCATGGAGGTTCACCTGCCCCTGCCTCCCAAGTGCTAGCCACCATACCTGGCCAGAACAGTCCTTTTCTTAGGAGGTGCCTTACCTGCCACCTGTGTATGCCTCAGTGCTTCTCAAAACATGACCTCAGCATTGTGGCTCAGTGGTGACTGTCACGAGGGACAGGAGTAGAGATGAAAAGAAAGCAGAAAGCAATCTCAAACTTCGGAATTATCTTGGAAGTTATTGTCCTCTGTTTTTCGGAGGGCGGGGGTGGCTTGTCTTGATATTTTTTCCCATGCAAGTTGACCTGTTAGTTTAGATTCTGATTCAGTGCAATTGAATCAGTGTGGCCCTTTTATCTTCTTCCCCCAAGCCCTGTATGTAACCCAGATGGGTTGACAACAGCGGTCTCACCATCTTAGTAACACCGTGATGTGAGTCACGGAGGCCCCAGAATTTCTCCTTATGTGTTTTCCAAATGGAGATTTGACAATTAAATATTAGGTTTACGAGTTTGTTTTGTAACTGAGGACTTGAAATCAAGCTTCTTGGAGGTGTTCATGACTTACCTGTCTTCCTCATGTCTGCCTGTGGTCACTTCTGTACCCGTGTTTTGGCTGTTTAAAGATCTTCAGTTCTACCCCTTCCTCCGTGCTCCCACCATCACTGCCCCTGCAGAGGTGCTCATCAGCTCTACCTCTTCCTCCGTGCTCCCACCGTCACTGCCCCTGCAGAGGTGCTCATCAGCTCCACCTCTTCCTCCATGCTCCCACCATCACTGCCCCTGCAGAGGTGCTCATCAGCTCTCCCCCTTCCTCCGTGCTCCCACCATCACTGCCCCTGCAGAGGTGCTCATCAGTTCCACCTCTTCCTCCGTGCTCCCACCATCACTGCCCCTGCAGAGGTGCTCATCAGCTCCACTTCTTTCTCCGTGCTCCCACTGTCATTGCTCCTGCAGAGGTGCTCATCAGCTTTTGCTGAATTGATTGTACAGCAGTTGAGTGACTCTGTCTCTGGTTTCTTTTCACTTTTAATTTATCCTGCATTCTGTGATTGAGGACTATCAGAAATGAGATTCGCGCCTTGTTATTTTCTGTTTCTGCATTTCATGACTTTCGTGGACTCTGTCAGTATTCTCTATCAGAATATCACAAATTGGGAAGAGGTTTCCAGGCTGCACTGGTGCCTCTCCCTAAGTCCCCTGCTTCTCCTCTTAGGGTTGTCCTCAGGTGCTAACCCTAGGCATAGGGATCAATGCAGCTTCCCTTCTCCTCAATTCCTTCCTTCTCTTCAGTAGCTGCTCAATCTCCATATATGCAGATGTCAGAGTGTTAGCTCTCATCTCTGTACATGCAGATGCCAGTATGGCCTTCACTGCTCCCTGCCATGTCCAGCTGAGGTTTCCTTTGCATGCAAATTTAGGGCTGCTTTGCCTTCCTTCATCTGCTCATCCCTTGTCCAACGCTGCAGGTGGGTTTTCTGGCTGATGTCATGTGCACTTTGTGTTCTTTCTCTTGACGTCTGTGTGTGTCTCCATCACTGTGCATGCCTAGTCACTTAGCACATCATGTTGCTTTTGCATTCAGGTGCCCAGCACAAAATAAGCATTTGGTCAGTGTTTGCTGAATCACAAAATAAAATGAAACAACCTTATTTGAATCAGACTTTAACCTAAGAAATTTTTTTCTACCTGTATTTGAGCCTCTGTAAATATAAGAGTTCTTAAATAAGAATGTAAGCACTTAAGTTGTGTAGTGAATTTTGTATTTACTGATTTGTATATTAATGGGAATGTTAAACATTTAAGTAGCTAATGAGAATAGTGAACTAAAACAGCTTCTCTTTCACCAGTCTCCTTAGAAGTGTGGAGCATAGGCTCGTCTCTGTCAGCACCATTAGCATAATGTCCTTCAGTGGATTATAGGATATAATTTATTAGGAGACTCTTAGAATGCTGGTTCTGAAAATGCCATTCATCTAGGCCAACTGCCTCAATTTCATGATGGATAACCTTCAGGCAGAGAGAAGTAAAATGACCCCCTACCCCCAAATTGCATATTAGTGACAACCTCTTAAGAATTTAGATCATTGTTTTTTGGTCTGCAAATTTATAGGATTAAAATGTACAATGTTAAGTAGACTGCTTGTCCAATGATTGCTGAAAGAAGAACCATTTACTGGGTGGGATGGATAGGAAAGTTTGGCCTTCAAGCTGATTTGTGTAGCCAAGTGTTCTGGATACCACTGCCCCTGGGGGAGTGTTGCTCAGTAGATGCTCAGCTTTGGACTACATTCGCCCCAAAATTTGTGAGGATTACTTCTTTAGAAATACAAGGTATAGCTCAGCAGCTAAGAACACTGCCTGCTCTTCTTAAGGTCCTGAGTTCAATTCCTGACAACCACATGGTGGCTCACAACCATCTGTAATGAGATCAAGTGCCCTCTTCTGGCCTGCAGGCGCACATGCAGGCAGAACACTGTATACATAATAAATAAATAAATCTTAAAATACAAGGCAATGCAAACATTTTTTTAAAAAATATTATTTTTTTACTACCTTCAAACTTGTAAGAAAATTACAAAATGGCACATTTCAAATGTAAAGCAAGACTCATGTCAATTTCAAAAGTGTGTGCTCAAAATACGTTTGGGACTAGGGATGCTGATTAGTAGTAGTGCTGTAGGTTCCATTCCCAGTAAACACCCTCTCTCTCTCTCTCTCTCTCTCTCTCTCTCTCTCTCTCTCTCTTTCTCATTATACAAATACATACTGTTTAACTTTCCACCCTAAATGCTCTAATTATTTAATTGTATTATTTTCAGGATGAAAATATGATCAACTTCATCAAAGGTGGACTCAAAATTAGAACAAGTTACCAAATATATAAGTAAGTTACAAAGTAAAATGTGACTTAAATTGAAATTCAGTTAACTACTTTTGAAGACAGGCTCTTATTCTATCCCTCGGCTAGCCTGGAACTCTTGATTTTCCTGCCTCAGCTTCCCAAGTGTCACCACACTTAAGATTGGCTTTTAAATAGTTTGATTCTTGGGCTGTACAATTTTGTTCTTCCAAATTCTTATGAACCCAGCATGGCTAGATGTCTTCATTTGGTGTTGGTAAATCACTTGACTCTTGCCTGAGTGTACTTGGTGCTGTAGGACAGAGAGTTCTAAATTTACATGCATTTCAAGAGCAAATATTGAAAGAGAAAATGGGAGACACCGTTTCTGGTTAGGTAACCTTTACTTATTTCTCCTAAGAATTATTTGTATATTTTGTATTTGTGCTGTTTTTTATGTATTGTCTTCTTGAGACTCACATATAGCACAGCCTGGCTTTAAACCTCTGATTCTCCTGCCTCAGACTTTGGAGTGCTGGAATTACAATCACGTGCCATTACATTTGGCTTGCTTTAATAAAAACTTTTTAAAAATCTGCTATAATTTTGTACCTCTATTTCTTATGGTTACTATAGTGATTATAACGTCCTTTGCTTATTATAGTTAGCGTAGGCTGCGTCTTCTAAAGCAATTAGTAGTCATTCTTTCAGATCTGCCCACAGGCCAGTCTAAATTTTACAATCCCTCAATGGAGACTCCCTTCTCAGGCGACTCCAGGACTTGTCAAGCTGACCGCTTTAATTACTAACATATTAACAGGACAGCCTTTTAACTATTACGATGTGTTCTATATGAGCATCATTAAACCCACAACACAGCATCAGCTCTTTGTTTTAAAGTCCTTTGTCTCACTCTGGTCTGCTCACCACTGTATTCGGCACCCTTTCTGTTCACTCGTCTGCCGATGAACTTCCTTAGCTTCTCTCCTCGTATGAACTTTCAACATTTCTCTTCTGTTTTCATTTATTTGCAAACCTGCTTATTTTGGCTTTCACCTTCAAGGACATTCTTGCTAACTCTAGTATTCGGAGTTGTTAGGGTGCTCGTTTTTCAGCACCTAAAACCATCACGCTGTTGCATCAGCGCTGGTGTGGTTGAGACCTCTGCCGTGTGTGTAATTGTTTCCTGGATCTAATGAGCCATTGTTTCTGTCTCCTGAAGAACAAGTTGTATCTGCGTCTCAGTAGTTTGAGTGTGGTTTTGGCTTTGGCTTTTATGGCCATTATTTCCTCAAAGTTGTTGTTCTTGTTTTTCTCTGCATCTTTTCTCACTTATTTCCTCTGAACCTCTAATGGCACACGAGTCAGTCTGATTGGGTTTAGTAAGTTACATACAGTTTTTAATTTTAGCTTAGACCCAGCATGTGGGTCATCCTGGAATCAGTTTCTTTTCATTGCTTTTCTGTTGACTGTATGTCATGTTTTCCCATGGAATGGTGTTTAAATTGGATACTGATGTATCTGTGGAGACTCTGGAGTCTTTCATCCTTCCCCTGAAGTGTACCAAGCTCTGTTCTAGAAAGCAATTCATTTGCTTAGACCTGGGCTCTGGATTCTTACTGTTGTAGGACATCACGCCTGCACCTCTGCTGCCTCTGGACCTTCCCCTAGTAACATGGCTGATGGGTTCCTACCAGTAGAGAGTTCCCACCTCTCATCTGTGAAAATGCCCTTATATCCACCCAGCCCCTCTAGCGCAGGGAGTCTGGTGTCCTGATGGTGTTCTGTGTACCCTGTAAGGAGTGGGGCTTGCTTTCAGGAACAGACACTTGGATATAAAGTTAATTCGTGAGCTATTTCCTGCTTTCGAATTTAACTCTTCTCCAGTTTCTGCCTACTCCACCTTCAGTTTCCGAGCCTGCAGAAATATTTTAAATATATTTTTGTGTATTTTTTAGGGTTTATAATTGTTATGTGTGGGAGAACAAGTCTCACATAAGCTTCCTGCCACTACTGGGAACAAATCCCATTACCAGAAGCAGAACCCGAATCGGTACTGCAAGAGGCGCTTTTATCAGTACTCATTATGTATACTTGGAATCCGAAAGAAAGAAAGAAAGAAAGAAAGAAGGAAGGAAGGAAGGAAGGAAGGAAAATGTTGCAAGAGGGAGCTGATGTGGGAAACTTGGCATTATGTTTTTAAATTTCCTTTCCAAGTATTTTTTAGAAGATTAAAGAGGTGGTTGCTTTTCCAGTCATCAAAACTTTAAAATACAAATTTAAGTAGTCCTATGGTAACGAAGACCACCTTTATCACTATAGTGACAGGGATTTTATATGTGTGAGTGTGTGTGTGTGCGCAAGTACTTATACACACAGATGTTTAGTTAGAAGTTCACACTACTAAATTCCTATTTACACATGAGTCCTTTCAAAATAGTGGAGAAAGAGAAATACTTTAAATATTTTTTTGAAAACTGTTTTAAGAAAAAAAAATACACCATTAGCCTGGCTGTGGTGATACCTGTCTTTAATCCCAGCACTCAGGAGGCAGAGGCAGGAGGATCTCTATGAGTTCAGGGCCAGGCTCCAAAGCTACAGAGAAACCCTATCTTGAAAAACAAAACAACAACAAAAAAGCCCATCATTAATACAAAAATAAATTCCAACAAGATTTAGTATTTTTAAAAATTTTAAAAGTTATTAGGAAAGAACATAGGGTAATATTTTATGATCTTAAAATTAAAAGCTTGGGGAAGGAGACATGTCTTAGGTGTTAAGTGCTACCTTCTGATTTGTTACAGGACCAAAGTTTGGATTTCAGTATCCACACTGGGTGACTCACAAATCCCTATGATTTCAGTTCCAGGCAATCAGAGGCAAATTGTGTGTATGCGTGCACCCACGCGCACACACACACACACACACACACACACACACACTAAAATAAAAATAAAAACCTTTTAAACTTAAATGAAAATTTTCTACTTTGAAATAATTTGTTATTATAATTTTTATATATCTATTCAGATTTAACAGATACACTCATCCTACAAAGTAAAAAGCTCGATTATAGTTTAAAATCAGCTTTTAACCTTCCATGAAAACTTTCCACTGTGAGAGCTGGAATGATTGAGTGGCTAAGAGTTCCTACTACTAATGCAGTGGACCAAATTCAGGTCCTAGCTCCCACGTCAGCAGTTCACTGCCTGGAATTCCCGATCCCAAGGATCCTATGCCTCTGGTCTTCTCGGGTACCTATACAGAGCACAACACATCCACATGCAGACATTAACATTAGAAAGGATTTTCACGGCTCTTTCACTTAGATGCAGAAATACGTACTGCATAATCACAGCTCATTGTTAAACTGACATCTACGCCTTTACAGTGTCCAGCTGTCTCAGTGTTCCTTTTGTTCGAGGGTATAATCTGAGAGTCACGTTTAGTTGCCACGTCCCCTTAATCTCTATCTGCTGAGACAGGCTCTCATTCTAGCCCATACTGGCCTTGAACTCAGACAGTAACCCAGGCTGACTTTGAACTCCAGGAAATCCTCCTGTTTCAGCCTCTTGAGTGCTAGGATTGCAATCCTGTGCCACCAAGTCTGTTTTGTTTGTTTGTTTTGTTTTGTTTGTTTTAAAGACAATGAATGTGTCTCGGGGCAGACAGCAGTCTGGGCTAAGTTGGAAGGTTCTTGTCAGTTAGTACTGTTTAGAAGCCAGGTTAGCTCTGAGCTTGCTAGATTTGCCTAGAAAGTGTCCTAAGGGAAACTGTGCCTCACACATTACATTGCATTGGTGATAGGAGATACCTGGTTACACCCTATGATTTTGTTGTGTTGCTCTTTGTGGCACTGGGATGGAACGTGGGGCCTTGGGGACAATATACAGGTGTCCTGTCACCGAGACACATCCTCTGCATTCCCTTCTCAAAGGGCTGTTTCCCAGTCCAGTTGGCAGTTGCCACTTACTTTTTTACATGCCTTTGATTGTTTGTCTTTTGAAGATGATCTGGGGTCTGGGGATATAGCTTAGGGGCACTTTCCTAGCGAGTGGGAGCCTGGGGTCAGACACCACTACCACCAGCAGCAGCACCCACCACCAGAACCAGCACCACCAGCACCACCCCCACCCCACCTCACTCCTACCCACCCCCACCAGCACACCCTCCTCACACCCTTTTGCTTCTTTCTGCTTGCTGATGGTTGATCCCTCTTTTCCTTTAAATTTACAAACACTATTTCCTAAACACTGTACAAATGGATGTTTCCTTTCTCCTTGGTGGGAATTACCCAGTAGCTTTGGGAGCAGATGAAGCACAATTAATAAAAACTCAGAAAGAGAAATTGGGGTTCAACCTGAAGGTCCAAAAAGCAAAACAGCCAGCCACTGGCTCTTACCTCTACCTCAGTCTGAAATAGCGATCCTGCCTCTAAGAATCTTAGAATGAGATTCTGTCTGAAAGCTGTTTCCTCTCATTTTATAATTCTCTCTAGGGCTGGGTTTAAAGGTATGTACTGCCTGGTTTCTATGGCAACTAGTGTGGCAGCTGGGATTAGAGGTGTGTGTTACCACTACCTGGTCTGTAAGACTGACCAGTGGGGCTGTTTTACTCTCTGATTTTCAGGCAGGCTTTATTTATTAAAATACAAATGAAATGCCTTCACAATCATATTTTGCATTTTTGTAATGACATTTATAGAATGCAATTTGTATATTTATAGTGTATAATACAAGTAGAAAACCTGATTTAACATTTGTCTGTCAGAGTCCCAGGAAACTGATGCTCTCCTCTTCTTTCTCACCCTAGAGAGTGCCTTTCCATCCTGCACGTAATTCAGAAGAACAAACAGGAGCAGCACTTCTTCTATGAGTTTGAAGGCGGTGTCAAGCTTGGCACGGGGGCCTTTAATTTGGTAAGGAAGCATTTATAAAGAAACTGGAACCTTTTGTAGACAAAACCAAGTATCCCTGATCTGTATTTGAATGCCGTCCCAAACCTTTCCCTCTGTTTGATTGATGGACCAGTTTTCCTGTGTCGTGAATGTTACCAAGTTCTGCATGCACTTAGATAGCACAGGGCAAGGGAAGCGTGGGCACCCTGACTGAACTGTTAAAGCCTTTAGTAGTGAGGAGCCTAGAACCTTGGAAGTATTGTTACCGTGGTAATGGTAGCTCTGGAGTGGAAAACGCAGGGGCAGGGGAGTGATCTAACTCGAGGAATGATTGTTCATAGTCTCTGGGGAGATGCAGAGTGAGTAAGACTGTCTGAATACAATGTGTTATTTGGAGATCTGGAAATTTTACAAGATTTAGCTGGTTAGAAAATGAAGTAGCGAAAAGAATCATGTGCATTGCTCAGTGTCAGGAGTGTGCAGATTTTTCTTCATAGATTGCCCGTTCTGTTAAAGCCCTCATCACTGACCTGGTCTACAATGTCTTCCATTCAGAGAGAGATATCTAAAACCTCTTCCTTCCTCCTAAGTCCCTGGCTCTCTAGCCCCAGCCCATTGGTTCCAGCCATGGATTGGTATGTCACTACACATACAGCCATTTCTGGGAGATTGTCCCTTCTCCACTCCTGGATGTCCCAGGAAGGAGCTGAGCTGCTGCAGCTGTCTGCTTCTATCAGTGCTGGAGCATCCCCCACGTTACCTTAGGACCTCGCTTAAAGCAGGATGGTGCTCATGCCTGTAATCCAGCACTCAGGAGCAGGAGGCAGGATCAAGTCTATCTTAAGCTGCAGATGAGACCTATCTCAACAAAACACAGCAAAACGGAAAAAAAGAAAGTGCCCTCCCCCACAGTTACTTTCACGTTACTTCTCTTCACGCAACAAGAGTCAAGACAGTGCTTCGAGGGTCATGGGAAGGCCAGGCTTTCTCCTCACCGCTTCATACTCAGTTTAACTTGGCTTAGTTTGTAGGAGCTTTTGAACTTGTGACCAGCTTGGGCAACCATTGGGTTGTCAATAGTTAAAGTTTTCTAAAACCCAGGTACACTCACGTTTCTGTTTTTTCTTACAGATGCTGTCTCTTCTACCAGCAAGAATTATCAGACTGCTAGAATTTATTGGATTTTCTGGAAACAGGGTACGAACGGCATTTTGTCTTCATGTGGACAGGAATTTCCGCTTCTCTCTGTTGTAGTGTTCTTCCCCAGCAGCTTTTGGGTGATGTTCTCTCAGGAGTGCCTCCTCTCCTAGGTTTCAGATCAATGCCATCGCTTCCACAGAGTGCCCTCAGACTGTCCCAGTGAGGCTCAAGTGTCCCTAACTTCCAGAATCATCCAGTCTTCTTTTTGAGGGAGTTCACTCTGGTCCCATAAAAGAGTGAGTTCCTGTCTCACTGCCCCACTGGGTGGCGGTCTCTGAGGGCATAGAGTCCTTTGTTCTTGCCTGTCCTAGCATCTTGAGCTTGTACCTCAGGATGATTTTCTGTGGGGCTGGGGATGAAGCCCAGGCCTGGGGTTGCACGTGGTTGCATACGTGCTCTACTGTTGATACAAGTTCCTACCAACTCAGAATCAGTAATTTTATCAAATGAATTCAGTATTTCTTGGACATGAGCAATTTATTCCTCTCCATAGGATCACACAATAGAGATGATTAGTTTGACCACTGTCGCTGCTATGAGGAAACACCAAGCAAACACAGTGTAGGGGAGGAAGAGGCTCATTTACACCTGCAGACTGTAGTCTGTCCTTGAGGGAAGTCAGGGCTGGAACCTCGAGGAAGGAGCTTGGGGGGAGGTCTGTTTGCTGACTTACTGTACTGCTTGCTCAAAGGCTTGTGCTTAGATAGCTTCCCTGTACAGCCCCACACCAGCTGCCTAGGGATTGGCATTCCTCACAGTGGGCTGTCTTCTTGTTTTAAGCATGGTCCCCAACAGGCGTGTTTACAGTCTGTACCCGGCAGTTCCTCCATGTCAGCTTTCCCTTCAGTTGTTTCTGTGTGAAGTGAGCAATTGCAGAGGTTTTGCCAGGTTGTCTCCTGCCAGTTTAAAATGGGAAGTTTGTTTCTGTTTAAATGGTATCATTATTCCAAGTTGGTGAAGAAAACACCAAAGTTCACAGAGGGCAGGACATACGAATGACATGTGAAAATTTATAAACGTGCTTTTTCAGTTGGATTTTTTTTTCTGTGATGCAATTATTCTCCGCAGGACCTGGGCCTTCTGCAGCTGCGGGAAGGTGCGTTGGGAAGCAGCATGCGGTCCCCGCTCTGCTGCCTTACCATCCTGGCTTTCCATACCTACATCTCCCTTATTCTTGGTAAGAGCTAGTAGGCTCCAGCTGTTTACCTATGGCTTTTTTGAGTTGGAAGATAGATTTGTCATAGTCATCTTTGGCAGAGACACTTGACTGGTTGTTCTCACTGAACATTTTTTAAAGTTACTTATATTTATGTATGTATTTAATTTATGTGTGTGAGTGTTTTGTCTGCATGTATGCCTGTGCACCGTGTGCATGCTTAGTGCCCACAGTGGCCAGAAGAGGGCATTGGATCCCCTGGTACTGGAGTGACAGTCTACTCTCAAATAAGATTTATGTAGTAGGCTGCTAAATTTCACCACCTTCATGTTGGACTTTCAATATTTTTATAAATTTAAATTTAGAGGTAAAGTAAGTTGACATTGTCTTGAAAAGTAGAAATGCCAGAGGGGATCTGAAGTAGCCATCTCCATTCTTAAGAATTTGTCTTCCCTAGAGCTCTTTAGATCATGTGCTTCTCAGATGTAAACAAAGACAAAATAATCCCCTTCTGTGTCTGTATTCGCAGTGTATGGTGACGTTTTGAGAGTTGGTTGTAAATGTGTACCGCGTCTGTGAGCACTGAGCCGTGTCTGTTCCATTTCCAGGTACAGGAGAAGTGAACGTGGTGGAAGCAGAGAGTCTCCTGGCGCCCTTCCTTCAGCAGTTCCCCAATGTATGCTCAGTGTTCCGGTGTCTGTCAGCCGCTGTCCAGCCGCCACGGTCTGTTCAAGTGTGTTTCTCCTTTCTCCGCAGGGCTCGCTCATACTGTTCTACCACGCCCGGATCGAGCTGCTGAAAGGCAATGCTGAGAAGGTAGCTAGTCCAGCAAGGGTTATCTGGGGCACTGTCTGTGTCCAGCACACACTCACTCAACATAAGTAAATCTGTCTATGTGGACTAGGATAAAAAAAAAAGAAATAGGTAATATAATTCTGAAAAGCCACGCTTTTACTTTGTACACATATGTTGCCATATTTAGTAATTTATCTCAATTCATGTTTATGCATAAAGTATGTGAAATAGTTTATTGTAGAATGTATAAAATATTTTTTAAAGAATGTATAAAATAACACATAGGCAATCTAAGAGGTCTCAGAAAGCTTTGAGAATTATTGGTTTCTGCATAGTTTTTGGAACCTATCTTTTGCCTCCCATGCAACTGCACTGGTTCCTCCTCAGAGGCACTAGTTGGTTAATTCCCTTGATGTACAAGAGAAGAAGGTGTGTGTATCTGTGTATCCTTCTACACAAATGAGAGCAAACATTGTTTCTATTCATATTAAACCCTAGATCTTCCTCCAGGTCAGTGTATTTAAGTCTTCTGTTTATTTTAATGGCTCTACTTCCTTTTATGAGATGGATATTTATATTTACTAAAGTGGCTACTTGTGAAAATCCAAATGTCCTGTAGCGCCCAGACCACTACAAGATGATATGCGAGCCAGGACTTAAGCTGGAGACTTAAAAACACACTCACACAGACAGAGAGAGAGACACACACAGACATGGGCCATCCTTGATACAAAAATGCCAAGTTTATTGTGCTCAGGGGCAGCCTACAGATTCCTCAGGCCCAGAATAGCTGCTAGGGACTGATCACTAAGCCACTGTTATGTGCATTTCTGTGCACAGATCCATCAGGATAGGATTCTGGGGCACGTGGTGGTTGCATTCTTGCCATCCAGGCAAATTGCCTCTCTTACCGAAGAGTCTTAAACCTCTGTAAAGAAATGAGAAACAGATTAGAGAGATACCTCAGTGGTTAAGAGCATTTGCTCTTCTCACAGGCTCAGTCCCCAGCACCCACATCAGGTGGCTCACAGCTGCCTATAACTCCAATTCCAAGGGATCTGACACCCTCTTCTGGCCTCTGTAGACACCAGGCATGCATGGGGTGCAATATGTGTGTGGTGTGGGCACTCACAAGTACACATAAAAATTAATAAATCTTCAAACATGAGAATCTATATTTTTAGTACTCTTTGTCAACTCTGGAAGTCTCTGTCCTTTAATTTTTTTTGCCCAGATGATGAGCATAAAAAAGGAATTGAATTTCTGACCTAATTTCATTCTTGTTATTGTTATTTGTTGTGCTTGTCAAATCTGGGGTCTTGTGTATGTATGCTGGCCAAGTGCTTTGCCACTAAGCTATGCCTAGCCCAAAGTTTCAAATTCGATTAACTAGTTTGTGAATTTGATATATATATTTATTGATGGTTTATTCTTTTCTCCGATTTGCCTGGTTACATTTTTACCAATTTTTCTGATAAAATCGGCTGATATGTGGGCAGCAATACCTTCTTTGCCTACCCAGTGTTTGCAATTTTTTTTAAAGTGTGTTTTGATCAGTGAGGTTCTTACACTGTTGTGGTCTGTGTTTTATGAAAGAATTTTGGCATTTCTCTCTCACTGGAAAGGGCTTTTCTATTCCTGTGTTATAAAGTACAAGGTCCCCTCACAAAGTGAAGTTACACGGCAGAATCTAACTGTATCATCGCACGTAAGGAAGAGAACGTAATGTCATATTGCGTGGCTTACTGAGTGATGCTTTTGTTCTCTATGTACAAAGTGTTTTATGTATTTTTCCATTAGGTTATTATCTCCTTGTCTAATATCTGGATGATCAGCTTTATGCAATTGACTTATAGGCTCAAGAAACGTTTCGAAAATGCATTTCAGTTCAAGAAGAGTGGAGACAGTTTCACCATCTCTGTTACTGGGAATTAATGTGGATTTACATATACCAGCAGAATTGGATGCAGGCGTATCATTATTCAGACCTACTCTGCAAAGAGAGTAAATGGTCCAAGGTAAACTCCTACTGCTGTCCGCCTTTTCTGCTGCTGCTTGGCTACGGTGTTTGTCATTTAAGATCGATTTTTCAAGACACTGATGCTCAGTTTAGAGACCTGCAGGAGGAGGGGGTGGCGGTGATTAGCTAGTACAGAATCGAGGTGCTGTCGTCAGCACTCCAGGCGTAAAAAGTCCCCCAAAGTGCTGTCCAACAGAGGCATTTTACTGCCAGGATAAACGGCATCTGGGTTTACAATCTCCCATATCACTATTGTGATCTTGGTGATCTCTGTAGACTCCCAGTGCCCTGACCAGGTTTTTGGTGATAATTAAAGTTAGCTCTGAGCCATTTTTGAGAAGTTGAGAGGAAGAGATGACGATTTTTGTTTGTTCTGCCCACTTTCTTACCCATGATGGCACGTTCCTGTCATAGGAAAATGACCTCTGAAAACTTACTGTCATCTGACACAAACGTTTTTTTTAATAGTTAGTGATATTTTTTAATCAGTTTTGAAAACTGTGTAGATGTATTTGAGCACGTGTTTTTCCCCCCACTTTTTTTGAGACAGAATTTCCCTTTGTAGCCAAGGCTAGCCTGGAGCTCATTGTGAATCCCAGGTTGACCTTAAACTTGTGGCAGCCTCCTGCCTAAGCTTCCCAAGTGCTGGGATGATAGACATGCCATTGGACCCAGCTTCATCAGAGTGCTTCAGCACTTCAGTCTGAGCAGAGAGCTAAAGCCTCTGTTTCATTTTTTAAATTAAATATTTCATTTATACAGCGTACTTTTATCACGTTCCCTTCCCTAACTCCTCCCAGATCCTCCCTACCTACCCAACTTACGTTCTCTCCCTATCTTAAAAAAAAACCAACTTTAAATTACAAAAATGAAAATCATACCACCCACAAAGAATAAATAAACCAAAAGTCTCAGAACAAACCAAAAATCACACACACACACACACACACACACACACACACACACACACACTAAAACCAACAAAAACCAAAAACATGGAGTTCGTTTTATGTTGGCCAGCTCCTCCTCGCATGGAGCTGCGTCCTGCTCTGGGAGTTTGGTCAGTGTACCCAGTGACACTCCATTGTGGAAGCCGGGTTCCCCTTTCCCAATAGCGTCAACTGCAAATAGTTTCTGGTTAGACATGGGAGCCCCATATCCACTCACCCCTCTTAGTGCTGGGACTCTGTTGAAACAGACAGCTCACCTGACACCTTTAAATGTGACGTGTGGGAGGGTTCTAGGTCACTTCTGTGTGCAAGCTAAAATCTCATGTTCTCTAGTGAGCCCTTGTCTTTGTTTCCTCAAGGCAACATATGTGTTCTTGAAAGCTGCCATTCTGAGCATGCTCCCGGAGGAGGAGGTGGCAGTGACCAGTGAGAACGTGGTGGCTCTGTTCAGGTGAGCACAATGCTGTTTCTGTCACGGGGACCCTGTGGGGTTAGACACATCTGACTTCTTCCCTTCACACTCTATTCCCCCAGCTTCTAATTTCTCTACTCACCGATGTGGACGCACTTAGAGGAATACACTTAGCCGAGAGCCAGCCTGTCATTCTTTAGCATGATTTTCAGGTGTGTTTGCACGTCTGGGAATCATGGAAACATGCCTTGTACTTGTTTTCTAGAGCTAGAGTTTAGTTATCAGGCGTTTGTTCCTGCTCTTTCACACTAAGGTTCTCTTCCACCTCGTTGGATTCTTTCAGTGATGTAACCGGATATTTTCTTGAATCCTTTCCCTTGTTTATGCACTCATAAAATTACGCATAACAAAGAGACCCCACAAACACAGTCTCTTCCAGGAACATGGAGTCTCTGTCTATCCTAGTTTCAGTCTCCTGTGCTTAGATTTGGGGGGTGGGCAGTGTGTCTGTGCGCATCATGTATAGGAGTGTGTGTGCATACCCAGACATGTGCGGAGGACAGAGGATGCCGTTAGGAGTTCCAGTCCACTCCCTTATTCTCCCCAGGGTCTCACTGAATCTGGAGCCAGGCTCTTGGCCAGCAAATCCTGGGGCCCCTTATGTCTCCTGTCTCCAGGGAACCAACCTGGGTTCCGAGGATTTGAGCTCGGTTCTTCATGCTTGTACTACCAATATTTGTACTAAATCATCTCCCAGTCCAAATTTCTTAGACTTTTGAAAATAGTAAATCCTAAAATGATTATTTACAAAATTAGCTATGTTTGGTTAGCTATCTCAAATATGCATAAGTGGATGGTTGTCTTCTGAGATACATTATGTTATAGATCTGTGCAATATCTGCAGAGAGAACCAGGAAATGTACCAATTTACATGGTTCCTGTAATTGGAGGTTTCTTTCCTGCCCGCCAGTTTTCGAATAACCACTCTGAGGCTTAATATTACTTATAAATGCTTGGCCAATGACCCAGACTTATTACTAGCTAGCTCTTACATTTAAATTAGCCCATTTCTATTAATCTATATATTGCCATACGCATCACCTCATTATTTCCATAGCTTGCTTCCTTGTCAGCTGACTGGCATCTCTCTCTTCTTCACTCTTCTTTTCCCTGTATTCAGTTTGGCTTTCCCACCTTGCTGTGTTCTTCCTGGCTATAGGCCAAATCAGCTTTATTTATCAACCAATGGGGGAAAACCATATTCACAGCATACAAAAAGACCATCCTACAGCATTTCCCCCTTTCTGTCTAATTGAAAAGGAAGGTTTTAACTTTAACATAGTAAAATTGTATACAACAAACACAAGTATTAAGTAAGAATCACAGTTACAATATTTAGTCAGTTTGTATTGGCAAAATTAAAGAAAATACTCTATTATCTATTCTATCTTTGTAAGTCTAAAGTTTCATATATAATTTATCTTTTATTATAACTAAGGAAAACAGTTATAACTGTCTAGTCTTCAACTCCATCAAAGACCCCGGAAGGATATAATATTACCTGAGTAAACAGGAAATGCATTGCAAGCAACTTCCAAAACTCTAGAAGTAACAGAGATATCTGACTGCCTGAACAGTCACCCAAAGGTTTTTGCTACATTGGGGCATCCATTTTCAGCCTACAGGCCCATAGCATTTAGCAGGCTTTTCAATGAAGCAGGAAGTTTGAAAGGCTGCCTTATCTATGTTGGCAGCTCGTCAGTCACTTTCCTGTCAAGCAGAATGCCTGGCAGTTTCTTCTGTGAAGCAGGAACTCTGAAGTGGTGGTCATTTTCCTGTGGGTCCTGCATGTCCAGTTTATACAACATATTATCAAGCAGTCTAGGAAAGAGTAACTTCTTGCCCAAATGGCTAGTATTGCCACATTGAAAGAAAACTCCATAAAGAACATTTTTGAGGCCCATCATACCCCTAAAATAATTGGTGCTGCCAGGATCAGATGTGTCTGTCGATAAAAGTCTAAGTTTTTAAGACATATGAATGCCATATTCATAGGTCTTTGAAGTGTTTGAAGATTACCTATCTGAACTATTTCTCTGTATTACCTTGAAAATCTAACATAACTATAAATTTGATAGATATGGGTCACTATTAGCCTGTATTTCTTTATTAGCCAAAATAGCTTTTAAGGACTAAAACTTCATATTGCATAATTAAACAAGTTTTATAGGTATGAGCTGTATAGGTAATACCTTAAGCAAAAATAGAAAACATATGTGCAGCATAGGGACAGTAACCTTATATTTGTATCAATATATAAAAATACCTTAAAGCCAGGCGATGGGGGCGCACGCCTTTAATCCCAGCACTCGGGAGGCAGAGGTAGGAGGATCTCTGTGAGTTCGAGACCAGCCTGGTCTAGAGAGCTAGTTCCAGGACAGACTCCAAAGCCATAGAGAAACCCTGTCTCGAAAAAACCAAAAAAAAAAAAAAAAAAAAAAACCAAAAAAAAAACCTTAAACAGAAGTAGAAACAGATATACAGTATAACAAAAATAACCTTAAATTTGTAATAATATACAAAAATAATTTAAACAAGAATAGAAACATACATGCTTTGTAACAAAATTGGCTTTAAATTTATTTTATTATACCTTCCTATATTCCCTTAAATATAACAAATGTCCATAACCCACCAAATAACTAAAGACCATCCATACACCCAACTCTGGGGAATGTGGACATCAGTGTCTCCAAACTGCTTCCTGCTGTCTGTGAACAAAGTATCGTTAGGGTTCCTGAGAAAATTTGAGATAATGGCTAAGTCCTGAGAAGATTGGTTATAATCTTTGTTGATAGATTTCACCTGACAAGGTCAGGTGGTCTTGATCACAGCTGGTCCATCTTAATCTGTAATGTATCCATAGCCTCTCGTTTCCTGTGGATACAAAACAACTTCTCCAAAGTAATGCATCTTTTAAGTTCCATTTTACAAATATATTTTTGACTTTCGTTTTAAAACCAAGGCGTTTATAAAATATTTATGTTGGTTTTTTTATTAGTCGCTCTTTCAATCACATGTCTCTCAACAGCTATCTCTTGACCATCAGCTATCAAAAAATTCAAAATCAACACAATAACACATAGGCTCCAGACTCCCTGTGGATTTCCCATATTTATATGACTTTTTCTTTTATATTATTTTTACTGTCTCTTTAAAGACTTTTATTTTGTTTTTTTTAAAACAATTGTATTAATTTCTACAACTACTTATATCCATTTTCTTTCTTAAGCCTACACACATTGTAAAACATACTGGAACCTGTTTAAAGGTTTTTCCATCTGGACTGCTTTTACTGTGGATCTTTTAGACTTTTTTGTCTCTATGAGCAAACGCTAAATCCACCACGCAACTGTTGCCCAGCTTTCAGGAATCTGCCATGCTGTGCTCAAGCCTGCATGTTGTGGCATCTCTGCACTGTCGCCCTCGTGAGAGACATAACTAGGAAGCTGTTTTTAGCTCCATTGCTGTGTATTTAGAAGCCCCTTTTAAAGCTTTTTCAGACCTTATGGAAATTTGAGAGCTTCATGTTGGTACACCTTTATGTAATCGGAGGTTTCTCTCCTGCCCTCCAGTTCCCAAATAATCACTCTGAGGCTTAATATTACTTATAAGTGCGTGGCTGATGGCTCAGTCTTATTGCTCACTAGCTCTTACATTTAAATTAACCCATTTCTGTTACTTTATATATTGCCACGTGGCCATGGTGTTACCTCAGTTTTTAACCTGTCTTGCTTCCTCAGCAGCTGGCGTGTCTCTCTCTCTCTCCACCCTTTTTCCTGTACTCAGTCTCTGACTTTCCCGCCAGCTATATTGTCCCTGGCTTTAGGCCAAATCAGCTTTACTTATCAACCAATGATAGCAAGACAAATACAGCACACAGAAAGACCATCCCACAGCCTCTTCCCTTCTCTTTTCTGCATATTTATGGAAATAGACAGTTTTACAGCTAGATTAGATTGGATTGTGTTTGACACCTGTAGGACGCCAGCTAAGATGACTGGAAGGAAATATGTGAGTTACTGGCTCTCTTGGAATTGTGTATCCCATATTACCTGAATGTGTGTCCTCATGGAGATTGCTGGTCCCAACCTTAGGACTGCCGGTTCATGGGGAACGCCTTGTAATGTGCGTTTGGAACAGGTTCCCGGCTGCTACTGGCCTATGATGTATGCTCATTGCCCTCTGCATGGTCTCTCCACAGACAGGTAGACGGCTTGAAGCAGAGGATCGCGGGGAAATCTCTCCCAACCGAGAAGTTCGCTGTGAGGAAGGCTCGCCGGTACTCACCCTCCTCAGGAGCCCCGGGGAAGCTCGTCTTACCTGCCCTGGTATCTGCTTCTATGCACTGTCTCCATGCTAGAGATAAATTCACTATTGAGAGCATCAAGGAATGTACTTAGCTTTGGATGGGAAGCTTATAGAACTATTGTGTATTTTTCTATTCATATATAGTAAGTAATTTTAAAACATTGAAAATTTTACCTGTTGCCTTTTGATCAGTTCATATGTCCTAGACATTGTGATAAAGGCAAATCCAAAAAAGTCAGGTCATTTGGCTTTCGTCATAATGATAAGAATGGTCTCAGTTCCATGTTTCAGATGAGGACGTTCAGACCTAGAGGGAGAACACGGCTTCACTGAAGTGAAACTGAATTACAAAGCAAACCACAAATTCAGTTTTATATTTTCTAATAGATATGTAAAAGGGTAAAAGAAAGCCTTTAGAGAATAATTTTCCAAGAATATAGTTTGTTTGATCTGGAGTTTGTTTATTCTGGGCATGATGACTCACACCTGTAATCTTAGCACTTGGGCGGCCAAGGCCAGAGAGTTGCTGCAGATTTGAGGCCAGCTTGGGCTGCACAAGGAATGCCCAACCACCCTGGACTACCTGTGAAGCAAAGCTTTGCCATTGTGATGTGGGATTGTAAACAAGGAAGACTCGTGGCTGCGGTGTGCCACGCCCTTTTGCGGTACAGCCTTTGGTAGGCGTGGCTCTCCCACCAGAGAGGAACCCCTTCGGGCTAGTGGACTAGTGTGTTCTACTGCAGGGCGCCCTGGGCAGCTGGCTGCTCCAGTGTCGCTGGAGTTCACCCTCCTCATCACCCCTCTGTTTTGGCAAAGCCTCTGTGAAAACACCATTGACTTGAATATTTTAAACAAAGCCTTCTTTCGAGAGTGCTGGCTATGCTGCTCTGCCTGACTCTCAGCCTTGGCCCAGGAAGTTTTCAGTGCACCCCGGTGTCACAGTCCTCCCCCCCCCCCCCCTCCCCGGGCTGGTTCCATGAGACCTCTGTCCCTTGGATTATTTAATCATTCTCCTTTGAAAGTTATGTGCCGTTTTCCAGTTTTTTACTGTCATAGGCATCGCTGCAATGAACATGATTGACATGCACATGTCATTCTCTGGGAATGTTTTCAAAGACCTGGGATTCTTAGCTGAAGGCTGTGTGTTAATGTTTGGGTAGAGGAGATAACATTAACTTTCTACCCCCGTACTGTATCAATTCAAACGGCTGATACTACATCCTTTTAACTTGCATTTCTATATTAACATTTTTCAGTGTCTTCCTCTGCTCATTCATTTTTAGTTTTTTTCTCCATTGTTCGTATCATTCTTGTTTCATTGGGTGATTTTTGTTTTGTTGCTGACTCTCAGAAGTTCTTTGTGTATTTGAAGAGGAATAAGAATACAGCCCCTGACAGGGGTCAGATAGGAGCTAGCCTGCAGCTGGTAGCACTCAGACCGGGTGTTTCCCACAGAACCCTATGATTAGACCGACAGGATGAGGTAGGAATATGATGGGCCTATAATTGTGTCTTGAGCACAGACAATAACAAGATCACTGTGCTAAACACAGAGACCGCAAACCCCTCTCCCGGTTGGTGCCTATTGTTGCCTTGATTAGCTTTAGTCCTGTTCCACATTCATTGCTATCAAGTGGTTTGCACTGGGAGATTCTATGTCAAAGAATTTTCCAGAAACTTTACTTGACCATTATCTCTCTTTGTCTACCTTAGTACTTAGACCCTGGTGTGTATGAGGCTCTGTCATGCCTTGAATCACTGATGGTTGGTGGGTATACAATGACAAAGAATTCACTAGAATTGTTCATACCGAGGGATGTTGCCACAGCCTGTTTTTCATAAAAATCTCAAACCAAGCTTGCTTCTCCCTTGGATAAATACTACACTCATAAAGAAATTTAAATCATCAGTTTAAAAATGTCATTCCTGAATTGTGCCCCTAGCTTCCAGTGCCATAAAGCAAGCCTGTGACACCATCATTTGATGCCTCATTTCCATGACGGCTCTGGCTCAGAAGATTCTCAAACAGTATCTGTTGTATTTTAAAATTCATGCTCATTGTATACCCTTCAAAATATGAACGGCACTATCTGGACATTAGAAAAATATTTTCAAGCAAAAACACATTTGCTTTTGATCCAAAAAAAATTCTCATCTGTTAGCCCATTAAATATAATCTGCAACGAGAAGCCATTAGTTTACATTTCAGGAGCTGTCATTCAGCCATATGGCCTTTAAACAAACGTGTTTTCTGCATATTGGATCGCATTACTGGGCCGACACATGTTTTTAATGATATAAAAGAACCTGAGCCCAGTAAAATAAATATTCCAATGATCATTTCTAGTGATATGCTTGGAAACACTTTATGTAAACAATTAGCAGACATTTTAAAATATTTCCCTTTACTTAAAAGTAACAACCAAAGTTTACATTAAACAAAATTGTTTATAGTGTCAGTTTAAAATATTATTTTACTTCTGTATCTCTGTTCCATCCAAAGGATTGTACGCTAGTAGATACTTAGTGTGTTTGTTGAGTGAATGAGTATCAGGTATATGCTTGCTTACCTCAGAGCGTGGAAGACAAAAGGCATATATATAACCAGGGGAACTTATGTCACTGAATTCCAGATGAAGGAAAGTTAGAACAAGATCGCGACTGTCATGCTGAAGTCCTTAGCAGACACCTCACATGTGGTTTTCCATCCTTCCTCCTTAGGAAATGATGTACGTCTGGAATGGCTTTTCAATAGTAGCCAAAAGGAAGGACCTTTCTGAAAACCTCTTGGTGACTGTGGAGAAGGCTGAGGCGGCTCTGCAAACTCAGAGTAAGTGTGCAAGGTCTTTGTCTTGGTTCTGATGCCTCTCTGGTCTCTCCCTGGGGCATATCTGCCCATGTCGTTCTGTGTGCATCCCAAAAGCAAAGCTGGAGCTTCTGCTGTCTGGGTGCTTCTCATCAAGATGGAGTGAGGATGGCACCTCCTGATGCACCAAAGAATGGGTATCTGTCACAAGAGACCATGTAGGATGTTATTCCACTTTTATGGCATAGCCATTGTGTGCCAGTTTAAAGTTTTTGTTTTTAAGGACCTGCTTTTCTTTTTCTGCTGCTATAACAGAATATCATAGGCTGGGTGATGGATGAAAGAAAACCAGTGTGTTTTCCACAGGTCTGGAGCCTAGGGGCTGTAGGATCCAGGTGCTACAGCTGATGAGGACCTTCTTGCTGCCTTGTCGCATGGCCGACTGAGGCACACAGCACGCATTGCCACCCTCTTGAAGTTCTTACCTCTCAACACTGGCTTGGTGACAGTTAGGTCTCAGTATGCTCTAATGCCACTGTCCTGTGTTTTGAGTGGTTCATCATGTTATGTTCAGACACCCAGTACATTCTGTGCCCTCTTTTGGACTCCATGGGCACCATGCACAGACATATATGCAAGCAAAACACTCATGCATAAAACAAAATTAAATAGTAGGCGACAGTCCTGTCCTCTGTTTCTCCTCCGGGCGAAAGAATTGGTTTATTGTCAGGGTCACCTCTATCTCAATACACGTTAGGGTTATCATGGTTTTGAGGGGGACATTATCTTCCCTGCCCTCAAACTTCTGACTCTGAGTTAATTAAACTTCCATTCTTCAGAGTGATTGGAAAATTGAGTGGCGTTCCAAGCCTGAGGTTGTGGGGCTTCTACCCCTGCCCATTATTAGATACCATACCAGTGCCCACAAACTCTCCTCTCTCTCTCTCTCTCTCTCTCTCTCTCTCTCTCTCTCTCTCTCACACACACACACACACACACACACAGAAATAGGGTTTGAGACATTTTTGTTCGTTTAGTTTAAATCACAGGAACAATGAGCACTGGTACTGTCCTCCCACCATGTGGGTCCTTGGGATTGAACTCAGGCCATCAGACTTAGAGTCTTCACCCACAGAACATCTCAGCAGCCTTATCTCCAGTTCAGCCCTTCTTCTTGTGTACGAGTACAGGTCATGACAGGGAGTGATCATGTGAAAATGTGCTGTGGTCAGGGGAACTGGGCTTTGCTTCTGAGTTTGTGGAAGAGGTGGCATATGAAGCCCTGGTACATTGCTAACTTAAGATCTCCACAGAGTGCCCTACTGGGTTTTTAGTAGTCATTGTCTGTACCACCTCCAACATTATTCCTTGAGCAAGCAGAAGTTGTCAGAACATTAGAAAACTGCTTCTCAGAATTCAATAGAATGCACAGAAATGAGACGGAAAGGTAGCGGCCAGTGTGGACCCAGCTTTGGGCTTGGGTCTGACTCCCTGATAGAAGCATGGATTACGAGTGGGAGGATGTAAGGTAAGGGGTTCCACGTTCATAATAGGAAAGGTCAGAGGTGTTGGTATCTGTGGTTTTCCGAGTGTGTGGCCCATGACATATGAGCACTTGACAGTTCAAGGTGAATCTCATGGGTTGAACACTTAGAAGTGAAGTGAGCCCCTTCCAGTTGGGTGAGTAACACTGTTGCTTCCCATAGGTGAGGGTTTACCAACTGAAACACCAGCACGTGTCACCGACGGGGTCTGAGACTCGAACCCAAAGTCTGCGGCAGCAGTATGGAGACTCCCAGGATCCAGTCCTCTTCCCCCTTACCGCCCCTCCACACTGCTGTCACAGGCAGAAACGTGTAAATTAGCAGTCTGTCTTAAAATGACTTCTTTGCCTGTCACTTGCAAAAGAAGAAAGCAGAGAAATCTTCATGAACGGAACACGTGGCATGGCTACCTTTGACAGATAGCCACGACACCATGTGGCTCACTCAGCTTGACACATCTCCAGACTGCGCTGGAGAAGACAGGGGCCTGGATAGGAAAAGGAAACCCTTGACATTTTCCCGGAGCATGGCCGTTTGTGGCGACTTTAGGTGCCTTTCCTGTATTTCAGAACCATTTCGTGGCATAATCTTCCACCGAAAGAACATAACCTGGGAGAATTGCTAGGTTGTAAACATAATGATCTGGAAGAGAGGTTTCTGCTTCCTGCATTTTGAACGGGTGGGAGGCCATCTGCTTCTCCATATGGAGGTGTTACCCTCTCCTGCGCGGATGCCAGCGCAGTTAGAAGCCAAAACAACAGGAGGAGACAGCCTGCTTCCTCCTCCTTTACCTCTGAGAGAATTAATGAGGCTCATTCTTTATTTAGAGATCAGATTTCCTGTTGTAGCTAAGGGCACAGAATTTACTATGACCACCTGAAAATCTGCCTGTGCAGTCTCCCTAGATGAATGACGTAGAATGTGTTAGCTCAGTGTTCTTCTGAACAAGCGTTTCCATTGTTTTATGTAGTAGGTTAGTAAGCTTATTATTAAACGGTTCCCCCTAAAGCCCAACATCAGTTAGTTTTCTTCTCAATTAGGATTTCTGGCAAGCTCATTGTGTTCGCCTCATATAGATGAGGCACTAGCTAGCGTTCATCCCAGGCACCACAGAAAACAATGAACTCTTCCCTCTGTTGTTTTTTCTTGTTGTTTTAAGACTCTGCTGACTCTGTGGATGATGAGTGCTTGGTGAAATTACTGAAGGGATGCTGCCTCAAGAACTTAGAGCGACCCTTGCAAGCTGAGTTGTGTTTCAACCACATTGTGGAAAGGTAAGAGCCAGCCTGGGTTCAAGTTGTGGCTTCAGGGGTCTCAGAGGCAAAGTGATGTGCCAAGCTATGGCATGGAATATGGCTTTATGTATTTCCATTCACTGTTTAAAGATGACCCATTTCTTGCATATACACTGATCTTTCTTTCTACCAATGATAGTGCTGACCTGATGAGAGTCGGAGCAAGGCTGAATGCTTGGGGGTGAACTGGGAACCCCTGTTTTCTCCAAAGACTGTGACTATGTAACTCTTCACTTTGCACAGCGTGGGCCCAGCAACTGTGGTCCCTATAGAAAGAAGTGGAAGCTGCATCTAAAGTCAGATCTCCTGATTTTTGTTTGTTTGTTTTTTTTTCCGAGACAGGGTTTCTCTGTAGCTTTGGAGCCTGTCCTGGAACTAGCTCTTGTAGACCAGGCTGGCCTCGAACTCACAGAACTCCCTCTGCCTCTGCCTCTGCCTCTGCCTCTCAAGTGCTGGGATTAAAGGCGTGCACCACCACTGCCTAGTCAGATCTCCTGATTTTTAAACATTGGCTCTGTGTTTTTGAAAACACTGCACACCATGAAGATGGAGGCCACACAGTGGCCTCCCTCATGACAGTATTTGTGAGAATGTAGGACACATTTTCTAGTTCCCAAATAAGGTCGTATACTATATTTGGTGAACACTAGGAAACTATATACGCAGTTCTAGTTTACTGGCGACAACAGTGACCGTGTGCTGCCTGCTTTGTTTCATTGCCTCTCACAGGGAGGCATTTGCTCCTGTGCTTTCCAGGGTTTGAATTGTGAAATCCCCTTCAGTGGGGTTAAGTTGTGGAAGAGTTTTCCTTTACCACTTATTTTGGCTTCTATCAAAGCCACCATCGTGTTAATATCATGTGTAGCAGTGTTTGGACCTCTTGAGCAGTGTAAAACTGAATTGCAAATTTCTGTGAGGACTGGCCTATGTGTTGTTAATTTCCAAAGAGATGTGTTTTGTTTTTTCTTCATGTCAAAATTGCTGGCAAAAGGAGGCCATCGTCTCTGTCTTGTCCCTTGCCAGTGAGTGGGTTTCTTCTAATCTGCTTTCTCCAAAGGACAGATTCAACATTCCAAGCTTAAGGTGTTCCGCTCCAGCCATTGCTTTCCGTGGGTCTAGGGCCTCATCTCCTGCCTGGCCATTGAGACTCAAAGTCTCAGGTCTCTCTGCAGACCCCAGGGTAGGTTCAGCACTAGTCTTCCGGTCTTGCTCTTCTCCTTGGCATCTGAGAGTAGTTTGGGCTATAGCCTGGCAAACTGAGCTATAGATTATTGTCCTTATGTTTAATTTATTTTAAACTTTACTTAAAAAGTTACAAATAAAAATAAATGTTACACACTAAAGTTAACCTGGCACAAACACTATACAAATCAGTGAACAGAGTAGCCATTCAGAATGGTAGCTGTGGGGTTTTGCATTGGATTTTATGCTTTAATCGTCAATATATTTTTATGTACTTATCCACCACCAAATATGAAAAATCCATTGCAGTTAGAACTAGAGAAACAATTTGCTCTAGATTTAAAAGACTGTTTGTTACTCAGTCTTTTTCCTGAATTTCTAGTTTTCAAAATGATGCTGAAATGGAACCGCCAGCCATTTCAGTAGTCATTGATGTTTTGAAGAATTCTAAGCCTTAAGTATGAAGGAAATTGATGCCTTGTTAAACACAAAACTAAGGAGACTTCCTTATTACTAACTTTAGAGCCACATGCTCCCAAAGCTGATCTCGTCTTCTCGAGGGTCATCTCGAAGGTCTGTGTATATTGATCTGCCTGAGAGGTGGTGCTGCACCAGTGCTGGCTGTACGTTAAGGAACTAACGATTTAGTATGGAAGCATACTTCATTCCCTAGGGTGTTCAGTGCCATAGCTGTGAGTGCAGCCTTCCTCTGTGATAGTCTCAGTATTGTCTGGGAATTCAAGAAGAATGATACATGTTTCGAATGGTACTTTTTGTGTTCTGTTAAGACTTGATTCTCATTTGCTTCTTTAGCGAGAAACTCCTGAAGTACGACCACTATCTGGTGCCGTTCACTCTGTTTGAGCTGGCGTGTTTGTATAAAAGCCAAGGGGACATTGACAAGGCCATAAAGACCCTAGAAACTGCAAGGTGGGTATTGACGGTAACTTGTCCTGGTGACGTGGAGGGGGAGACATCAGTGCAGCAGCCGTGAGTGCCATTGTGCTCCATAAAGCTAGTGAGCTAATGCAAGTTAGCATGAGTACTTTTGCTAATGTGGTTTGTTTGTTTGGAGCATGGGCTTTCACTGTAGTTGTGCTGTTTGGAGCCGCTCGGTCCATCACTCTAGCTACCTAGAGATGTTATGTGTGCACCTAGCTGGCCAGCTTCGGCTTATGCTCTTCCACTGCAAATGGCCAGGCAGTAGGTATTTTGGCCTTAAAGTGAGTATTGATTTTAGAGTGTAAGGTGCCCATTGACTGCACTTAACATATTGTAAGTACCCGCAGTGTAGAAGATAAGTGGGCACAGGATGTGGCTGCAATTTGCTGAGCAGGTGGATGGACAGTGATGCTTTTTCCTGACTGGCAAACACTTAGAGCAATGAGTTTTTGCGCAGAGATAATACCTCTCAGGGTTATCATACTTGGAGGTGGCTGTCAGATGTCCACATGGAGAGGGTGAGCTGGCGACGAGATGTGCAGGTGTGTCCAGTGCTAAAGTCAGGACCACATGGATACAACCAGAGTCCCCAGCCCAGAGAGCGTGCTGGTCAAAGCTGTCATTCCTGAGGTCGTTAGAGCGCAGGGCAGGTGACAGAGGTCTTGACCAGTGCCTGGAACAAGGGCCGGGATAAGACTAAGAGGGTAGTAAGTTGTTGTTTCATTTTCTACATGCCAAGGTTTACTCAAGGTTGTGCAAAACAGTTAAGTGCAACACAAGGGACAGAGTCAAGACCTGAGTTCTATTCTCAGAACCTAAAGAACCAACCAGGGGAAAGAACCAACTCCATAGAGTTGTCCTCTGACCTCCTCACAGGTTCTGCGGCATGCCTTCCCCACCGGTACAGCATGTCCACATCCAATAATAATGATGGAATCTCGGAATTCCTAGAGCTAGTTAGCAGCTAAGAAGCATTCAAATATGAAAGCCAAAAAACTTGAAAATATTGAGCATGGCTGCTAATGAGGGCAGCAGCCAAGATGTTGAGCAACATAACAGAGAGCGGCCATGCGTGACCTTGACAGGGAGACAAGGAGAGGAGTGGAGTCAGCGGCTCTGCTATTGTAAGATTAGGGATGTTTGCCATGAATAGAGTGCAGTAGGAGGAAGAAGCCTTTAGGGGCAGGGCGCCCCCAAGTTTGTCCTAAGAGAAATGAGCAATGTAGGAAGAAGCCACTTTAAAAGGTAACTTGTTGGACCTGAGGACAGTTAATGCTTCAGCTGTGGTGTTTGTGCGTCCCTGGAGGAAGCTATGGGGTCACCCTGCCCTGTGCACCCCCAGAGGAAGCTATGAGGACTCTGCCCTGTGCACCCCCAGAGGAAGCTATGGGGTCACTCTGCCCTGTGCGCCCCCAGAGGAAGCTATGGGGACTCTGCCCTGTGCATACTGATACTTCAGGCATTCCCAGTTGGCACATAGTCAGCACTACTTTGTGTAAATGGAGCATCAGGTGACACAGAAAGACATTTCTTCACCACTGAAAAGCACACAAAGCCACCACGGACCCAGACAGTACCTGTAGGGCAAACATAAACACTTCACCGTGATCTCAGGACCATCTCTGTCTGCAGTTCCTCTCCACAGCATGGGCTTTTCAAAGCGGCCAGAAATCGAGAGAATACTCAGTTGTTCTTAGGTAAATCTTAGTAAGAGGTTATTCTGTGAACAATACATCATACTAACACTCATCAAAGTTAAGAGGAAAGTGTGTTTTTAAAAAAGATAGGAACACTACTTCAAAGGAGGCATCAGCTGCCTTGTCTGCCAAGGCAGGGCTTGAGATCAGGAGACCTAAATTGAAGCCAGTTCCAACCAATTTTAGCAACATGAATGTGTTAAATCATTGCTGTGAAGAGATCACGACCATAGAAACTCTTATAGAGGAAAACATTTGATTAGGGCCGGCTTATAGTTCAGAGACTTAGACCATTATTGTCATGGCGGGAAGCGTGGTGGCACACAGGTGGACCTGGTCCTGGAGAAGAAGCTTGAGGGTTCTACATCGGAGTCTGCCAGCAGCAGGAAGAGAGACACTGGACCTGGCTTGAGCATTTTGAAACCTCAAAGCCTACCTGCCGTGACACACTTCCTCCACCAAGGCCACACCTCCTATTAGTGCTATTCCCTATGAGCCTATGGGGTCATTTTCATTTAAACCATTATAGTCAGGTTTTCAAGTAATTTTTGGATTTTGTTTGCCCTGCTTTTCTTTTCCATGGTTCTGGGGATTGACCCCAGATTCTCCGTGTCCCAGGCAGTTTCTCTAGTGCTGCGTTCCACCCTGGCCTTCTCACTTGTGTTCACCCCTTCTTGTGGCCCCTTCTGGCACTGTCCTAATTTGAGTCATTAGTGACAAAACCACTGGTAACTTGCATGAGAATTGGAAGAAATGGTTTAGGGGTCACAGGGCAGCCCTGCTGTCTTTGTTAGAGTAGCTTCATGTGGATTCTGAAGTATTTTTCTTCTGTTGAGTAATGGATTGTTTATGACCATTGTGTTACATGAACCTACCTCAACATTTTTCTCTAAAAATAGAAATTGAACCATTCAGCAATACTTAACAAAATATGCCATGATCTTATGACCTTGTTATAGTAGTGGTTTGTAGTTAGGATATTGCACCTCAAAAGTATGACCTTTTAAATCACCACCAGGGAAGCTTCTAGAAACCCAAAATGCAGACTCGCCCGTCCCACAGAAAGAGTCTGCTTTTAGACTCAGCTCTGCTGATACACTTGTTGAAGTTAGAAAGTAAACAGGAGACCAGAGGGTGGAAGAGGAGGGTGGTGGTACCCTGCTAGCCAGAGAAATGCTGACTGGATCATTTTATTCTTCCTTGTCTTCAGAAACAACTACAAAGATTACTCCTTGGAGTCCCGATTACACTTCAGGATTCAAGCAGCCCTTCATCTCTGGAAAAAACCATCCTCTTCCTCAGACTGATCAGAATGCACAGGATGGAATCCCCCCAGTTAACATGGACTCTTGCTGTGGAGATCAGTCCCAGTTAAGGTGGAAGCAAGATCCTTCGAATAAGAAAGGAAACTCTATTGTCAGGCGCTTCCTGTCACCCGAGTGGCTTCCTGTTCCCCTATGGAATGGCAATCAATATTGTATAGAGATTCTTATACTCTGCCTTTAAAAAGAATTTCACGTTAGATTTCAATTGAGGGGTGAAGTCTTTTAAAAGACTGACGGGTACAATAAAGTCTAGTTAGATTATTTATTTTTTTAATGCAAAAATTAATATTGTTCAAGTAGCAAATGGCTTTATATGCTGAGCCATTTTTAGATTGGCTTGTCCTTTAAACTTCAGAGATATTTTATTGCTTAATATTTAAATCTCAGAGTGGGAATAAATATCGCATCTAAAATAATATAACAATGAGCTTCTGAAGGTTCTGAAAGAGAGAAGCAGAGGGCCCGAGGGGTGAAGTCTTCCTAGACTGAAGGACCTGCATCTCTTTAGGATGATGCAACCGTGAATTCTCGGGTTTCTGCTCTCAGTGATTGAAATGGTGGCATTTTTCAGAAACCATTCTGTCTTTGAATGTACTCATATCTGATCCAGCAATAGCATTCAATCATATAGACACATCTCCCATGTATCTACAGGAAGAAAACACGGTATTTTAGACCTCCCTAACCTTAGTGCTAAAGCCTGAGATATAGACTCTGACTACTTTTCTTACAGGGAGGAAAAAAATCCCTGTTGCTTTAAATGATATGTAAAATATCAGTCATTTTTACACTTAGGATGTGGCTGGCCCAGCACTGACGGCTTTTTTCTTTCTTTCTTTCTTAAACATCTGGGCTGGGTTTTGGTTCTCTGAGTAGACCCAGAGCATGGGACTGGAAGAGCCAGGCTCTGCTACTGGTGAGCAGAGAGCAGTTGGCTTTTCTGGAGTCCCCACACCTGCCAATTACTGTATCTTCCTCTCTTGTGAAATAGAAAAAGAACAGGTGACTTCAACGTTCTCTCTGAGTTTTATAACCATGAGTCTGTGTATTAGGTACTTCCAGCACAGTTTAGCATTCAATTCACATTCTCCCCATTTAGAATGTTTTATAGTATTTTTTTCAATGCCACTCCCTTTCCTTCCAATCCAATGCCTATAGTAGTTACAGCTAAGGGCCAGATCCCATCCAGTGAGGAAAAGCAGTTCACGAGTCCATGAGTCAGGGTTTTGTTCCGTTTTCTTGTCTATATGGTAGTTGACTCCACATTCCCCAGGTGACACCCCGAGTTTGTAGTTGGGAGTCTCTCCCTGTTGGTGAATAGTTAGCAACGTAAAACAAATAACTTGGCCTTTCTAGGACTTGGACTTCCCAGTGGGAATGACAAGGTAGACGCAGTGCTCTGAGGCCTCAGTGAAGTGGTGTATTTGGTAGCTTTCTGTACACTGGGGAAGCTATAGACACAGGAGTGAGTCTGACCATTAGGGCTTTGTGCATGGATTACAGTATCTATATGAAAGTATCCTCTGAGTCTGTGGTCTGTGCCGTAAGATGAAGTGAATGTGGGCAGCCAGAAGCCTCTCTGTTTATGCAGTTACCACTGAGAGCAGCCCAGATCATGGAGTGGCTCCTGCTCCCCCCTCCTGCAGTTCCCATGCTCAGCATTGGTGCTGTGTTACATAAGGTACCATTTCTTGACCAACATTGAGGAAGCATTTCTTGAAGAAGGTGATTAATACACTTCTTCAACATGGGGGCAGATAACATCATGTCACATTAATATGAATTATACAACCAGCTACAGATAGAAGGGGAAATAAATTGTCATGATACTATAGAAATATATTCTATAATTATATATATAAGACTTTGAAGAAAAGTTTATAAATTCTTTAGGAGAACATGGATAACATTATTTTAAAAACATATATTATTAAAGAATATATCTGGGAGTAGTGGCACATTCCTTTAATCCCAGCACCTGGGAAGCAGGGGCAGGTGGATCTCTAAGTTTGAGGCCAGCCTGGTCTGCATAGTGAGTTCCAGGCCAGCCATAACTACATAGTGAAACCATGTCTCCAAAAAGAAACAAACAAAAAGAATATATATCCATATTTTGTGAGAAACTGTCAGAGCTCATGGTCTGTAACAATAAATTCCCATTCTGGTATAAAATGAAAAAAAAAAATGAAGCTAAAAACAGCTATTGTAGGCTGGTGAGATGGGTCAGCAGTTAGAATCCTTCCTGCTTCTCCAGGGACCAGAGCCTGTTTTTCACTACCATGTCAGACAGTTCTCACCTGCTGGAACTCCAGAAGAGCTGACAGGCACCCAGACAAACATGGCATATGCTCACACAGAAGAAGCACACATGTGTACATGAGTAGATAATCTTTTTTAAAATGACTGCTTTTACATTATCAAACAAATTTATCTGTGCCATTTTTTTTTGATTTGTGGGGTTTTTATTTGTATTTTATTTGTAACTTTGCCAGTTAGCCGTGTGGATCATCTATCTAGTGACCTTATAGATACTGTAATAGACATTTATCTGTTTCCTGTCATGTTCAAGACATTGTACAGGCACCGTTTTCTTAGGATGTTTGTAAGGGTCATCTTCTACAACCTGTTTCGTGATTTAGGATGTTTGCGTAAGAGACACCATTTTATCTGTCATCTTTGTGAGGCACTGGTAGTGGCTTGGGACTCTGTTATGTCTAAGGACAGTTTGTATAGCCACTGGCAAAATTGCTTCTGTTTATTTTTAAATAGCGAGGCAGTGTTCTGATTGGTGCTTTGCCTTGGCGAGTAGGAAAGCCTGGAAGGTTAACAACATCAACTCCTGTGTATATTTGAATGCTTGCTCTTATCTAAGGACAGTTTGTATAGCCACTGGCAAAATTGCTTCTGTTTATTTTTAAATAGCGAGGCAGTGTTCTGATTGGTGCTTTGCCTTGGCGAGTAGGAAAGCCTGGAAGGTTAACAACATCAACTCCTGTGTATATTTGAATGCTTGCTCTTCCTGCATGTAGAATTACAGAGCACACAGTTTTGTGGCTTTCTGTATGTTCTGAGGACAGGAGGAGACAGTGGGTAGGAGTTACAGGGAGATAAACTCCACATTCCTCTGTGGGAAGGACAATGTGCGGTCATTAGAGCAATGCAGCAGGCTACCCAGCTTCTTAGAAAGGGGTGAGTTAGCAGCCCTGGGTGACTGTCGTCCCTCCCTGGCCTAAGGGCCTGGGTTAATTGAATTGGAGGTCAAGTCATTCTACAATTTTTTGATCAGGGCTTAAACCCTGTGGTGTGGAAGGGTGAAAAGCGAGTGCCCCCCTCTTCAAAGTAGAAGTGCCCGCTCTTTCTCTAGTCATTTTATTGTGATGGGCACTAGCAGCACCTGCTGTCAAAGCTCACGTGATTCTGTCTCCCATCCATCCCCGGGAGGTTTAGTGATCTTGTTAGTAGAGCCCTGCTCCCTGGACAGCAAGAGTGATTTAAGAACAGTCTTTATGACCAAGTGGAAAAATCAATTCTTGTCAATTCCCTAGACATTTCATTTTTCCTGTGTCCTTTTCCCCCCTTTGTTGAATTCCCTCAGTTTCTGAATCACCAGTTCTGGTGTGGTTAGTTGTAATTAGTGAGGCCTCCGATGACTGAAATCCTACGCGCTTGTGATCCATCGGGTCTGGATCTTAGCAAATTATTTTGTCCTTTTTGGCCATTGAACATACTGCGTCTGCTGTCCTTCTCAGTCAGCTGTGGCTGCCAGGCTCCTGAAATGGCCATGGGCAGTGGCACCTTTCTTCTTGCCTGCAGCAGTTCTCAGAGGCTCCAGGGTTCTTGCCCCCTGGCACTCTGGCATTTGCTTGCTGTCCGCGGTGACTGCCCATTCCTCATCCATTGCACCACCTCGTCAGCTATCTCTCAGTAGTTACTCTGTTTAAGTGCCCTTCAACTTTGATTCTCCCATGTATTTGGTGTATGAACATTGATTGGTCTCACCCCTGGGAACTCCTTGTGTGCTCATCCATACGTCCCTGTTCTTAAGAATTCTTGGGTAGTCTTATTTTATAAACTGTCTCTGTATGTTGCAATTGTTAGGTTGCTTTCATGAATAAGATAATTTCTGAAAATTTAATGAACACTTTGTGATACGTTTACATCACCAACATGCTGACGTTGACCCTCTTAGCTATTTCAATATGCTACTTACAGATTGTTTGACACAATTGATCCACTTAAGGGATAATATGGAAGATGATTTATCTAAATTTAAATATTTTATGCCTTCCAGTTGCCTATTGTGAGTAACTTAAGCTGTTTAAGGATCTCTTTATTAGATACAGTGGTAGATCTAATGTGTCACTAGATTGGTCTAAACATAAGTAATATGAAACAACCCATATTGGCTAATCCTTCATGCCCTTTTAGGAGTGGAGTTGTTTCTTCATATTGCTCTCCCACCATCCAGTTATTTACATATTTTACTGTATGTATTAGATTGCTAGAAGCCTGCCTCCCAGTTAGTATTTTGGTCTATTGTACATTTGCTGTTAGCTTTTATTATTTTAGAATGTTGAACTTGAAATGTAAAGGGCCCATCAGACTCTATCAAGGAAGATGGCCTTGCTGTTGAACAGTTCCATCTGATCTGGACAGACCTTCATATCCGTTCCAGTCCATTTATAAAACTTGATCACTTCAGAAGGAAGTGATAGGAGAGCTATTCCGTGTACTGAGACGGCTGAGCAGGTTCTCAGCCTGAACCACGCAGAGGATATATAGATTGAACACTAGAGAAGACTAAGCCCCACCCCCTCCTGTTTGCAGCATACAGCGAGTGACATGTGTTCATCACAGTTAGTCATACTGCAGCAGGACTGTGCAAAAACTCAAAGCAGATGCTTCACTGTATTTAAATAATAAAGAATTCTGTACATGCCTACAGGTTGAATTTTATTTTATTTTTGCGGTGCTAGAAATGAAACCCCGAGGGCTGGTGTTTGCTTTGTAAGTGTTCTACAACTGAGCCACATCCTCGGCCACAGGTTGAATATTGAATAGGAAAAATCAAGGTACAATAGTAGCAAACTTAATGACAATAAACACATAGGACACTTTGTCAACCGAGCACTTCCTAGAAGTGTGTAATTTAAAGGCTGAACACGGGACATGTGCATATTATGTCAGGTGCATTTGTTTTATTGCTCCTTAGCTTTTTCTTCAGGGCTTTGAATTAAAAGTCTTGGTAGTTTGGGTACCAAAAGAAAATAAAAAGAAATTGTTTTCAGTGGAACACAACTGATAATGAGGGTCTCTGAAAGAATATTGCTTACATTTACTTTGGAAGGAGTTGTATTCTTCTGAGTTTGAAGGTGTGGCACTTTCTGCTTGAGGAATTACACAGGCCTCCAGCTCCAGTCTCACTCTGAACAGGGCAGACTGCCCAGGTTGCAGTTTGGGAGATAGCAAATGAGTATAAATGAGTTTTCACAAATTCCCTTTTCTCCTGAAATGTTCCCCCTACCACCACCACCACCACCACCACCACCACCACCACCACCACCACCACCACCACCATCACCACCGTAGACTAAATGCTTTCTGTATGGCTCTCCTCTTGCCTACTCCTATCCTAGGGCATAAACCATGCATATTGGCACACGGCTAAGGAAACACTGGACCACTGAGCACCCAGCCCAAGTAGTTTCCAGGAAAAAGGAGGTTGTGGTAAACATCTTAAATCTCAGGCTTTTGGTTGTGTTTAATGATGTAAGAAAACAGCACTGTTTGGGTCCAAGATTTACAGAAAGGCACACGTGTGCCACAGATGTGTGCTGTGCAGTAAGGCACATAACGGTTAACCGTGTGCCTCACCCAGCCACTGTGTCATGGGAATTCTAGAGCCGAGTATTTTTCATCACTTTTCCTTTTGCTGACTGTTGGTATTTGAACACCTGAACGGATGTTAGTTGTCTCTTTATCGATTGCTATTTTAAAATATTTATTGCAGATGTGCATAGAATTTTGATGCAAATTATATACAAAGGCATATACGTATATATTTAATAACTGAAACGTATTATTTTATTGTACAACTTATTTCCAAAGCAAATTTACTTTGTAAATGTCTTTTGAGACTTTTTTTTTTGCCTCAGAAATACAAAAAGTAACTCTGTGTTCTCTCTGGTTTGTATGAGGTACATTTGATTTTCACTTACTTTTGATTAAGCAAAATTAAGGCATGTATGAACCAACTTGGAGCTTTCTGTTGAACCATCCAAGTGCCTGTCCGTACTTGGGACTGAGTGCCGTGCGGTCAGACATGGATGTGTCTTGTCTCTGTCTCCTTTCCTCATTGTGCTTAAGCATGGTTTTATGGGGTGATTCTCAACAGTCAGTTTTACAGAGGAAAACCATCTTAGAAATGGAAGCCATCCAGACTCTGTAAAATGAGTGTGTTACTAATACCCATCTGCTAACCAGTGGACTAGCTTCAGGTCCTGGAGAGGGAAAGAGACCATTAGGAAGCTTTCCATCAGTCAAGGAGGAGGAAGAGGACTGTGAACTAGCATCTTCTCATGTAAAAGCTGTGTTTCCATGGCTTCTGTGTGTTGATTTTGTGTTAATGTTATCATCCGTGATGTGTAAGTCAATGTAGATAAAGATTTAAATTTTCAACATGAAGACAAGAGTTCCTGTTTCTATTTTTACAATTTAGACAGTTTTGAAAACAGATATCACATTAGAAATTGTATTTTTAAGTGCAAATAAATAAATCTGAAAGTCAGTGTTTCCCTCTTCTTCCCTTGTACCTTAGAGAAGGCTCCTTGTTAGTAGGGACATATTTCAGTTGCCAGATTGTTTTCAGAATCCTCTATTTTCATATTGCTGTAATCGGTTTACCTACGATGTGCAATGATTTGTTATTTAAATAAATGACTCTCGATAAAGTTACAGTCTTGTCCTAGTTGGTCTTCACGTGAAAGCCGGACATAACTTCCATTTGGTTGGTCCTTAATTGTCATGTGATGCAGGCTTGACTCTTTGTTTCTTGGTGAGACTTCCTTTCTTTCTCCTCCCAACCTTACTGCCCGCAGGTATGGAGACCCTTTTTAAAGCTATGCTCTTGGCTGAGCCGGGGCACATAGGGAGACATGGGATGGATCGTTTGCCCTGAGGGAGGGTTTGCTATCACGTCACTTGCATTAACCTAGCTGCTGCTGAGACCAGTTGCAGCATCCGTTGTAGCAGAGTAGACCAAGCAGTGTCGCTGAAAAGCAGGTGTGTATTTAGATTAGACTTGGCTAGATCATTGCATGGGATTTCCCTGTCAGACCAGGTAACCATGCCAAACTCCACTCAAAATCCAAGGTAAACTAGGAATGACTCTCCTACTCCATTCAGTGCCGAGAACTGTCAAGGGACATGCGTGAAACGCAGTGGACTAGTCTAACATCGGATCCTTTCTTCCTTCCCCACAAGCCAGCGCCCAGTCTAGAGTTCACCTACTGATAGAAGAGATGGAGAAGCGCAGTCTAGATGTGGGCCCGGCACTAAGGAAGGGAGGGTGACGCGCAGGTAGCTGGCCTGTGCCTCATCACCATTCGTTGTCATTTTAACATGTCCTTTGGAATTTTGAGAGACCGAAATATGTATTCCTAGATCTTTGTCACTCAAATTTGGCTCTAGAATATTCTACACTTATATTTTATTCCCTTTGAGATGAGCACTCTATTTGTCTGTCTGTCTGTCTCTGTCTGTCTCTGTCTCTCTCTCTCTCTCTCTCTCTCTCTCTCTCTCTCTCTCTCTCTCTGTGTGTGTGTGTGTGTGTGTGTGTGTGTGTGTGTACAGTAGATTTACAAACACGTTAGTTCTTGGCAGATCTCTGTTCCATCGTCTCAGGCCAGCTAGGCCCATCAGTAAAACACGAGTACCCCTCTTATGGAGCTCATTGGCCGGTAGAATGAGAAGCTGAAAAGATTTTGTAAGAGAGACTGATCATTTGTTATCTTCAGGAGGCAAACTGGAGGCACTTGGTCAGGAGGGCAGCTTAAGGAGATCTAGGGGAGTATTGCAGGGTAACAAGATATGGGCAGCTTTAGCAAACACTGCCCCTTACCTGTTCTAGAATCATTGAACAGACGTGTAACTGTCCTGGAGGGAGGGGGAGTTTAGCAGTGAGGTGGGAAGGAGGCAGAGCTCAGCAGTGAGGTGGGAAGGAGGTGGAGCTTAGCAGTGAGGTGGGAAGTAAGCAGGAAGGCTGAGAGTCAGCCAGCCTTGTTAGCTAGCAAACTTAGCCTGTAAGTTTGCTAGAATACATGGATTCTGGTAGAATGCATGTGTATTACAATGGGGCCATCTTAAGAACTTTTGCCATTGGTCTTCAGGAAGTGAGTGGAATGAGCCAGTCGTGGTTAGGAAAGGCTCTTCTGAGCTCCCTGCTGGGATTCACTTGTGGACAAGGGCTGGAGCCTAGGACTAAAATCTAGCCAAGAAGTAATGACCACCAGGACCCACCAGAGTGTGGCATCTGTTGTTTGGGCCTGAAAACTGCAAAGACGGAGTGGTATAGGCCAAGATGGGAGATGTGGCCAACAGCAGACTTAGCCCTGTCAACATAAAAGCGGTTCTCATCTCTAAGGGCAAGAGATAGTGTATCCCGGAGCCAAATATGAGTGACCCCTTGCCCAGAAACACATATTTAGTTACCCCAAATTCCACGTTCCAGTGAGGTCACAATTTTACAAACTTTTTATAGTAACAACAAGGAAAGTCAGTCATGGATCAAGGCACTTTTCAAATCCATTGGTGGATACATCGGGTAGGCGGGTTATAGGAAGATGGAGAGAACTCTGCCGTGAGCCTCAGTCAAGGTCTGACAACACACTTAGCTCTTTGATTGGAAAACTGTTTTTGATTTGTTTCTAAATTTATTCCAAAGGATGTTTTTAAAAATCTGACAGGATGTTAGGGAGCTAAAGATGGCCCAAGCCAAACTGTAATCGGGCTCTAGACTTAACCCCAGCCTCTCCACATCCCCGATGGTCTACTCAGGCAGCTGGTTCTTTCACAGTGTTGGACTGGACACAAGCTGGAAGGGAATGGGAGATGGCACAGCTGGCCGGGGTGAAGAAGGTGATAAGGCCATGACACAGACAGAGAAGGGGCGATAATTGATCCTCCAAGAACAGTTCATGAAAATCAAATACGGCCTTAAAACAGAGTGTGGGTCTGAGTATCCAGAAGCAATCCCTTTGTAAAACTTGTGACACAAATGCATATGAACAGTGTTAGTAGTTACGGTGGAGTGGTGGCGAATGAACCGAAGAACCACGTCAATGACGGTGGGGTGGCAGAATTCCTACAGCTGCAGGCTCAGCCTCCAAGAGCTTAGTTATGTTGAAAGAGAACATGAAGCGCCCCCAGCCACTAGGAGGACAGTGTGATGGCAATTATTCACCAAGAGGCCTCCCACCCGATCGCATCTCACCATATCCACAGTAGGAAATTTTCTCAAATCATCACACAGACTTCAGATACTGGGAAGAAAGCTCCCACTCAAAGGCTGTACATCCTAAGGCACCGCTTACGACATTATTTTCTGCCCATCTGAAATACATAATTGGTGCCGTGTAACAGATCAGCCTGTCAAGAGTGACCACTGTCCACACAGTTGAGCTTCTGGGGTCAGGAACTTATATTTAAATTGGTTCCCATCAGGAACTATGGGGCACAGCTTAGGCAAATCTAAACAGAAATGTCAGTCACTTGCTGCAGACACATGGCCTGGGTGTGTCCCTCGTTAAATAGACAGGAGAGCTGTGGGTAGCAGCCCTTGGGACAACTGTTTTCTCAAACAACACCCTGTGGTGGCTGGTCTTCTGTCAACTTGACACGAGTTAGAGTTAAGGATGGAACCTCAGTTGAAAGAACACCTCCGTGAGATCCAGCTGTAAGGCATTTTCTTAATTAGTGATTGGTAGGGAAGGATCCAACCCATTGTGAGTCACAATCTCTGGTCTGGTGGTCCTATGTTGTAGTGGGAGGCTGCTTGTTGGTTCCCAGTCACCTGGCTAGCTTAGACCTGAAATAATCACACAGAAACTGTATTAATTAAATGACTGCTTGGTCCATTAGCTTTAACTTCTTATTGGCTAACTCTTACATATTAATTTAACCCATTTCTATTGATCTGTGTATCACCATGTTGCTGTGGTTTATTGGCAAGATTCCAACCGGCAGCTCCATGGCTTCTTTCTGATTCCACCCTTCTTCCTCCTAGCATTCAGCTTAGTTTTTCCAACCTACTAAGTTGTGCCCTGCTATAAGTCCAAAGCAGTTTCTTTATTCATTAATGGTAATCACAGCATACAGAGGGAATCCCACATCACTATGTTCTATAAAAAAGCAGGTTGAGTAAGCCATGGGGAGCAAGCCAGTGAGCAGCACCCCTCCACAGCCTCTGCATCAGCTCCTGCCTCCAGGTACCTGCCCTGCTTGAGTTCCTGTCCTGGCTTCCTTCAGTGATGCACCACAATGTGGAAGTGTTAGCCCAATAAGCCCTCTCCTCCCAACTTGCTCTTTGGTCATGGTGTTTCATCACAGCAGCAGACACCCTAACTACGACACACACGCTTTCCAAGCTACCTTGCTGTCCCTACTTTTCCTTACTTCCATCTTCTGCTCCTTCTGAAATGGACCTTTGGTGAGGCATCTAGGGTTTCTCACACCTTTTGCAGGGACCCAGAGGAGCTCTGAGTCCCACGTTTTGAATCTGTGGGCCTGGCCTCCTGGGAAATTGCTGCATTTCCCACTGTCTGCTCAGGGGCACTCAGTTTGGAAATGTGGATGCATGCTGAAATAATAGCAATTCTTTGTTCATAGAAGTGTGTTTGTTTTTAATTTAGTATTTGTGTAAAGATTTTTTTTTTTTTGGAGGCAGCAACTACCAAGTTTGAAAAGCAATTGATGTTTTCATTGGTCAATTGAGGGAAAATATTTGTTCTATGGGTTTAACATCCTATAAGCAATGTTGGACAGCATTCTAAAAACGCCCCTTCCCCCATCCCCCAGTTGTAATAGAATAAAAGAAAAGCATGCGACAAGAGACATAGGAAAACCCCAGAAGTGCATGTTATTAGGATCTTAAGGCCAAATTAAGCCTGCTGGATTAGATAAAACTAAATATGGGAATAGTATCAATGTGAACAAACATTTCCTGTCCTGCCAGTCAGTTCCCAAATAACCACTCAGAGGCTTATATTACTTATAAACACTCAGCCAATAGCTCAGGCTTATTACTAACCAGCTCTTACGTTTAAAGTAACCCATTTCTATTAATTTACATTCTGCCATGTGACTCATGGCTTGTTATCTCATATTCTATATATTCTGTTTGCTTGGCTGCTGGCTGTTGTGACTGCCCTGACTCCACCCTTCTCTCTCAGCATTCTCCCTGTGTCAGGCTGTCTTGCTCAATCTCTTTCTGCCCTGCTATTGGCCAGTCAACTTTATTATTAGCAACCAGCACAACCTACAGCATACCAAGGCCACACCTAAATAAGGCCTGGTGATAAAACTCGTAGGGCCTTAGTCTGAGGTTTCAAAGACTTCCGTGTATCTAAAAGATTCAGAGTGTCACTTGAACTTTAAGTAGAAGAGGAAACCTAGCATAAAATCTCAAATCTTAATTAAGCAAATTTGGTAAAGTTGAACAAGAAGCAACTAGAAGGGGGGAAGATTTATGTGCATTTTTAGGCCCCCTTGCAAAGCTTCAGATTGTCTTTGGAGCAGAATGGAGAAAATTGTAGGGAATCTTGTTATCTGAGCAACCAGTTATGTGAACATTGAGCATGCCACTGCCACAGCCAGCGTGTCACCACACAGCCAGCATGACAAAAGTAACATGAAAGGAATGACCACAAATCTATTTAGAATGAAGCCAGTAATGTCTG